AAGCGGAGGTAGTATATATTATTCTCTAGTCAAAGGGATATATTTGTTGGCTAAATATATGCCTATAGTCACGTCTAATTGATACGCTTGTATATTGTATAAATGCTGACTTTGTTAATGAGATTAATCAATGAAAATATTCCCTCATCTTTCATGGTATCAGTTGCCTAGGGCACGATTCTATTCCGCTGCATTCCTTGGTTTTCCGCCTTCCTTCATCTTCTTCTCTTCTTCTACTGCTTACTCTTTGTTCTTTCTCGGCAATTATCATGGGTGAATCAAAGTCATCGTTTCATCCGGCTCTTGCCGTCCCAAACATCAAAAACCATATTTCCATTACTCTTGAGATGGAAAATGTGCAATACTCTACATGGGCGGAATTATTCAAGATTCACGCACGATCTCATCGAGTTCTTGACCATATCATACCTCCTGCTAAGGGCAAGGAGAAAGTTCTTACTACCGAGGATGAAAAGGAACTTTGGTCAACTCTTGATGCCACGATTCTCTCGTGGATTTACTCCACCATATCGAATGATCTCTTGCACACTATTATCAAACCCAATGCTACGGCTATGGAGGTTTGGAATAGGTTGAAGGATATATTTCAAGACAATCAACATTCTCGAGCCGTCATTTACGGGTTTTTGGTTGTTTGTGTTATCCCCTTATTCCTTCTACAACTATAATAAGTTGCAACGTAGGTCTACTCCTTATGTGTTTTTGGGATTTCCTACAAACCATCATGATTCATGGCTATAAGTGTTTTGATTTATCGTCGAATAAAATCATTATTTTTCGTCACCTCTTATTTGATGAGAATGTTTTTCCGTTTGCAAAATTACAATCCCGATTATTATGATTTTCTTGATGATGGTTATTCTCCATATATCATTACCCACTTTCACAATTCTGGCCTCACGCAGTCCTCTCAAACCCAAACACATGAGCCCACTAGCCCTCCTCCTCAACCGGCCCCAGATGCATCTCCAACACAACATCAGGCCTAGCCCAATTCTCCAATCCCAGCCACGCCTCTTCCCTCCCCAGATCAGGAGCAGCGAACCCAACATTAGCAGCCTGGGCCGCATATTCTCACGGGCCCAAGTCCAGACCCAGCTCCTGTTTCTGTCCCAAACACTACCAAGCAGCCCAAGGTCGTGACTAGAAGTCAAAATGGGATTTTTAAGCCCAATCCCAAATATTCTTGTCACTCCGCGGTTGTGAGGTCTCCGATACCTCGTAATTCGGTCCGGGATTCGAATTGGAAAATGGCTATGGATGATGAATATGATGCTCTTATTAAAAATAAGATGTGGGAGTTGGTGCCTCGTCCAGCCACCTAATGTGAATGTTATTCATTTTATGTGGATTTTTACTCATAAAGTTAAGTCTAACGGTGTGTTTGAGAGGCATAAAGCCCGTTTTGTAGGTGATGGAAAGACACAACAGGTTGACATTGATTGTGGTGAGACATTTAGCCCGGTTGTGTAGCCGGCTACAATTCGTGCGGTGCTTAGTCTTTTTCTCTCAAAGGCATGGCCCATACTGTCAAGAAAAGCATGCTTTCTTGCATGGTGAGTTACAGGAGACAGTGTATATGCATCAGCCCTTGGGGTACAGGGATCGTGAGCATCCTGATTATGTTTGTCTTTTGCGTAAGTCCTTGTATGGGCTTAAGCAAGCACCCCGAGCTTGGTATAAGTGGTTTGCTAATTATGTTTTATCTTTGGGTTTCACTAACAACAGGTGTGATAATTCATTGTTTATTTACCGCAAGGGGTCCGACATGGCTTACATTTTATTATATGTGGATGATATTATTCTCACTGCTTCTTCTGATGCTCTTCGGTGTTCTATTATGGATTTGCTTAGCTCTGAGTTTGCTATGAAGGATCTTGATCCTTTAAATTATTTTCTTGGTATTGTTGTTACCCGACATCGAGGGGGTATGTTCTTGTCTCAACACGAGTATGCCGAGGAAATTATCGATCGTGCAGGAATGACATCTAGTAAGCCATCATCTACTCCGGTCGACACTAAGTCAAAGGTTAGTGCTACTTCTGGCGCTACATTTAACGATCCCACTCTTTATCGGAGTCTTACAGGGGCCCTCTAGTATCTCACTTTTACACGATCATATATTTCTTATGCCGTACAACAAGTTTGCCTTCATATGCATGATCCGAGAATTGATCATATGTCAGCTTTTAAGCGAGTAATTCACTACATACAGGGTACATTGGAGTACGACCTCCATTTATATCCGTCCTCTTTTTCTTCTCTGGTCTCTTATACAGATGCAGATTGGGGTGGATGTTCGGATACGCGTCGCTCTATATCGGGTTATTTTGTGTTCATGGGTGATAATTTGCTATCTTGAAGGTCCAAACGACTATCCACATTGTCTAAGTCAAGTGCAGAGGCTGAGCATCGTGGGGTGGCAAATGTTGTCTCCGAATCATGCTGGATTCAGAACCTTCTCTTAGAGTTACATTGTCCTATTAAAAAGGCCACTCTTGTTTATGGTGACAATGCAAGTGCAATTTATTTTTCAAGAAATCCAGCTCAACACCAGCGTACAAAACATATTGAGATGGATATCCATTTTGTTCGAGAGAAGGTAGCGTGGTGAAGTTTGGTACTATATGTACCTTCGCGACATCAAATAGCGGACATCTTTACTAAAGGGCTTCCTCTAGTTTTATTTGAAGATTTTCGGGATAGTCTCAGCGTCCGTCAACCTCCCATTTCAACTGCGGGGGTGTGTTAAATATGTAAATATTATGTATATATTATATTATTCTCTAGTCAAAGGGATATATTTGGTTGCTAAATATATATGCCTATAGTCACGTAATTGATAGGCTTGCATATTGTATAAATACGAACTTTGTTAATGAGATTAATCAAGGAAAATATTCCCTCATCTTTCACTATGCTCATCAACAGAAATTGAACAATACTCCAAAATCTGATTAGTGTTTGAAACTGTGACACTAAAGCTACTAACTAAGTAAGTAATACTCTTAATAGCACATAATTTGACACTAAAGCTACCAACTAATACTCTTTGTAGCACATAATTTGCTTATTAACACAAATTAATTTTGCTAATTTAGTACATTGTGTTTACTTATTTGCCCATTTTGTTCAAAAAAAATCAGCAATTAACATCAAAATCAAACAATTTATCCCAAAATAAAGAAAGTTACTTGTGTAAATTATAAAGACAATTCACAATAATCACAATGTCACAACAAATTTGTAATTTAATCGAAGCTACAAGATTAATTCATTTAACAAAACCAATCAATTTACTAATTTTCATATGCAATTAGTAAAGAGAAAAGATAGAAAAAGTTCCAAAAAAAAAAAAAAAAATTATAAAAAACATAATTAAAAAAAAGGTAGAGTTGGGAGACATTGATGAATTGAAGTGAATTTAAGATTAAAATTGGGCTACTTTAAAATTATATGGATGCGTAGATATTTGGGAGAATTTCATTAATGGAATATATTTGAGCATTAATGAAAAAATTAGAGGTGATAAGGAAAGATGGGCCCGACCTGGCCTGATTTTGAGCGGCAATAGAGTATAGACAAAAATATTCAGACCGTAAGTTTTAAGTTGGACCCGCGTTTAGCCAGAGCTGGCTGGTCTCGCGATCAAATGTGAGCATAAACTATAACAAAAATGAACATTTAGTAATTGAACATACTTGAAAAGTGGTTGGTCCTCCCCAACAAAAATTAACAATTACTAGAAGAAAATGAACATTTAGTATTGAACATTTGAAAGGTAACATTGAAACTGCAACTGTATATTAGAAAATTGAGATGAATATCTTGTTAAATAACAATGAACACTATTTTTTTAAATGAAAAATGAATTCCAAATAAAAAGAAAGAAATATCTAAAACTTGAAATTAACATTGCAATATATAAAAATGAACATTTATAATAAAAGTGAAATAATAAAGGGCCTATGAAACTGAAAATAATAATTGTACATCTAATATTTATATTACCGAACATTTCAGTTGTGAATAAAAACGAACATATAATGTTGTTGCTTATTCATCAACATTTTTTTAAGATTCAAGTGAAATTATACTACATAAAAATGAACATTTAATTATTGAGAAATACAAAACCTCCATGATATAAATGAACATCTAATTTCATATTCTTGAAAATTGAAATAAATAAATAAATAATTTTTTTTTATTAACCTGATATACAAATAAACATACAGTTTTATGATTATGAACATTTTGATAATATTAACTTGAACATCATTAATATACTGTTCAATAGTAAATTATTCACAAGTAAACATAAAACATATAAGAATGTACATATATTGATTTTATAGATGAGCAAAATTGTAAAATATACTGTATTTAGTTAGAAAATGTTCATTTTGTAATAATAAATGCTCATTATATTTTTAGTTGGACCATGGACAAGCATTATAAACATTCAGGCTTAAAAAGCCCATTATGTTCCGTCAAAATTTATATCAACCATGCCCCCCCCTAACTCCCTCCAAATTGTTCAACCCACTATCCCGGGTCGGTTGCTGTGAGGGGTACTGATGAATTGTGGCCTTTATCTTACCCGCAAATAATGTAAAACTTGGTATCTTAATAAGGAACATTTAAGTATAAATTTAGTATCTTGTCAAAAATTGCCCTGCTAATTATGTACCTTGCCAGTATACAAGTATATTAGTACATACATATCACATAATGCTTTCAAAACAAAAGTACATATCACACAGACATTCATAGTAACACTTTGCATCACGTTCATGGGATGAAACGGCCATAGGTAGCGAATGGTAGCAATGACTCAAGATACACATCCAATGTTACTTTGACCTTCGAAAACGCCCATAAGATGAATGGAAGAGCTATTATGAATCGTCTATTTACAGAGCATACTAAACTCCTCGACACTTTCAACCGTAACCCTGGTTGTCTGCGAATCTTTCTTAGCAGTATATAGCGTTAACGCATTTTGGAATGAAGATGCCATATAAAAAGAGCCCAATGAAAATATAAAGTCCTCCAAAAATAAGGCTTATTCCTGTAAACTCATCGATATGCATGCCTAAAATGAGAATTATAGCTGAAATTATTCCATAAACAAGCGCTGACGAATTTTCGGAGACAAAAGATTGAAACGATGGGTCTAATACCAAATTTGGCAAGCCAGTCTGATCATTATAACCACCAGGAGGGCTAAATGCCGAAGCAAATGTAACAGTAATGATAAGCGTCGCTACCACCAGGAAAACGTTGGCTCTCTCCTTGCTTATAGCCCCATAGGAGCCTCTATTCTTACTTGCATATTTTTTTTGTCGCCTCCACCTCCCTTAATTTTTCTTCGACCTCTAGGTCATCTCGTCTTGTAAATTTTGAAAACAAAGTTCTCTCATTAACCTTATTCAGCATCACTTCCATAAGATGGATCTGCATTGTGAAACAAGAATATGCATGTCATGTATATTGCCAAATGTTTTTAATTGACTGAAATTTTACATTTGTTTGGGGTAAATATTTTGAATTATAAAGGAACCAAATGAGGAGATGCATGCTTAAAATAAATATTAAAGGATGAGATATATTTTATATGCATAATTTTAAAATGTGCAAACTTTTTTACCCAAACACGATATGAGTTTCCAAAAGAGCAAAATATATCATCAACTCGAAAATTAAATACATGCATTCATGTAGTTAAAAAATAATCAATCTTTTCATCCTTGTATATTAACCCTACAATTAGAATTTTTTTTATGGTATGCTCGATCTTTTATGAGTTATCTATCAACAATTGTAAAGGTAACAATGCACCAAATTTGTTATCAAAAAACATCGTCAAATATGCTTTGCATCAAAGTACCAGCAAAATATATTCTCAAGGAAGGCATGTATACCTGTAGAGAAGAAAGGCCTTTTTTATCTGCACATTTCATATGCATAATAAATATATCTAGAGGTGTCTGCAACTCTTTGTTTTTTAAATTGCCTTTGATGTGTTGATATTTCAGCAAACGATACACAGCGCGGAGATGAAAACCTTTAACAGCCAAATGTAGTGGAGTATTACCATTATCATCAGTTGTATTGATCAGCTCCTTAAACTTTCGTTTATGCAAATATGCAATGATGTAATGGTTGTCGTAATTCTTTGCTGCCACATGGAGGACGTTTTGATCTTTGCTATTAAGCAAATGCCTGTGGTGGAAGAGTTTAATGACGTTTTGATCTTTTCTACGGTTATATAACACCGCAACATGCAATGCTGTGTTTCCGTCAAAATTTGGCCTTATACATATATGATCTGAAGGGATAGATGGCGACCATTGAAAAAGACCTTTGAGGGACTGGAAATTACCAACCTTAACAGCTGAATGAATCGGAAGGTCACCTTTCTTGTTGGCTTGGTACATGAGAGTAGTACAACCATGTCCTTGAAGGAGATCATGAATCAGTTGCGTACTATCCATACAAGCTGCAATATGAAGAACATTTTCCCCCTCATCAGGGGTTAGAAGGTCCTTAAGCTGAAGCCGTCTAACTGATTCAGAAACTCGATTTATCTCTCGTTTAGCCAAGTGTAGATACAAATTACCATCAATAGGAAACAACTTTATATCATTTGTAGCTTTTTCTAGCATCAAATTTAGCCTCATAACCACTCTTTTGCTGGTATCATCTACAAACGTTAATTCTTTTGCCAAATCGTGTGCCATCAAACCTTCCTTGTTCAACAATCCAACATTGACCCCTTCATTTTGGATAAGAAGTTCAACCACTTCAACATGCTTGGAAAGAGTAGCCAAATGCAGAGGAGTGTTACCATCATCGTTGTTTTGATTGAGTAAAGGGTCTACATCTGATAAACTAAGCACATAAGAGACCAATTTTGAGTCACCTATCAATATTGCCAAATGTAGAATATTTTGGCCTCTTCCATTAAGCAGAAATCTTGAGCTACTTAGTAGCCTATGATACTAATATGACCTCCACGCACCGCCTGGTGAATTGGAAAGGATTTGTCTTTGTTGCATATAAAGGCGCTATTAGGGACTTTCGTGTCAAAAATCTGAACCTTTTCCAGATAACCTTCAAAAGTTGCATAAGATAGAGCTGTCAACCCTTCTTCATTCACCAAATTGATAAGCTTTCCATCATCATAGAGAAGTAGGTGCTCCAACATTTCTGCAATGTTGTCAATTTAAATTTATATGCAGCATAACATATCCAGTTTTGTAATGTTTCACGCAATATTAGACTAAGTGATAATTTTTGTTTAAATCCAAAGCAAAATTAATCGAAATGAAAACAGCTTTTAACATATTTATACAAAAATAAAAAAGAAAACTACATGCTTCTCCTTAGCTACACTTGTTCTACGTACCATTATTTTAAAATGGTTTTGATGGGAGATTGGGAATTAATTTCCTTACATATTACAAAAATTTTAGGAGTTCAACTTATATAGTCAAATAGCAAATAAACAATTATACACACGGTAGCATGCATTAGATTACTGAAAATGGAGGAAAGGTATAGAAGAGGATGATCAATGGTGGAATTTCAATTCGATAATTATAGTAGTAACAAAAGTTTTGTAGTCATTGCAAAGGTGTCCTTAAATTCGTAGGCATACCTGTCTTTTGGGCAGATACAACAGCATGTAATACCGACTGGCCTTTTGTCAAACAATTGAGCGCATCTTCTTTGAATGGCTGCAACTTCTGTAGCATGTGTTGTACAAGATCAGCAAGCTCTTTCTGGATGGCCAAATACAAAGGACAAATTCCCTCAATATTCATAGCATACGCCGTAGGAGGATACAAGTCAACCAACTCCCTTGCCTGCTTGACCTCTTCATCATCATACACTTCCAAGGCAGTGTGAAGGGCGGTGTTCCCTTCGACATTGCTCCACTCTAATACCTGATGAACTACAACGTTGATGCCTGATGCCTGCTGTTGCTGTAACCAGCTCGCCAGGGCATCAACAACAGCGACGTTTATTCTACCAGTCTTGATTGCCGTGTGAATGGGGAGATCACCTTGAGAATTCCCCTGCACCATTAATTCTGGCCATTGTATAAGAATGTCATTCACCAATTCTACTTCTCTGGAGCTACAAGCAATGTGAAGGACAGTGTTGTTGTCACTTGCACACCGAAGCTCAAGAACATCAACTTGACTACTCGATACGACTCTGTTGAACCCAATAACATTCCCGGTGACTAGCAGTTGGTAAAGCTCGGTGTCAATAAGAGTATTACCGTCACCGCCTACATAATTTGACATGGATGAAATTTGGATCGATAACAGGTTTTTTCTTTTTTTGGATTGTATGTGCAATTGTACACTATACTGATTACACTTGAGCTCAAATATATCAATGTCTTAAAACCTTAAATCTTGACTAAGAAAGTCGTTGGGACCACGTAAGAGATAATGCATTTACCTCCCTACAATTTAGATAGAAAAGGTATTAAAAGTCAATGCTAGACACACCCTCGCTCCACCCCAGAACCCTTATCTCTTGTTTTTGGTACGGAACTACGAACTACGGAGTATAAAAACTCTAACCACTTGAGCTATCCGTCACTCTCAATAAAAACCATCTTATAAAAGACAAACTTTGTTAAAAACAATCTTATAATTTTTTTTTGTCAAAGCACACCTATTTTAAATTTCTTTTGTGAAGTCCCACCACTTCCAGGATTCCAACCTTTGACTGCAATTCCCGGCGTTGAGTTGCAGGTGCAAGTCACGTGACCCACTAAACTCCCCTCTTTCTTATTGGGTTTCTTCTTTTTTTTTTTTTTTTTTTTTTTTTTTTTTCCATTTTCCCTCCCTTCTTTCCTGTTCCCAGTTCCCAGTTCTGCTGTAACTAGCTTGTCAGGGCATCAACCGGCGATGTTCATTTTATCAGCATTGAGTGCTGAGTGAATGGGGAGATCTCCTTGAGAATTCCCTTGGACCATTAATTCTGGTCATAGTAAAAATGTCATGGACCAACTCTAACTTTCCAGAGCTAGAACCGATGTGAAGGACAGTATTCTTGTTCTAGTAGTCGACTTGCCTACTCTGTATGACTAGTAGCAGGTACAGTTCGGCATCAATAAGAGCATTATCATCAATAACAGCTGATTACTGGTATCCAAGGATCCCTTTAGAGAAGCAACTAGAACTTTTTGTTACTTAAAACTTGACTAAGATAGTATTTAGGGGAAGTATAAAAGCTATTTTGCCCCCTTATAGACAGAAAATTACGAGTAATAGACAAAAGAATGACCCAAATCTTGGATTTTATGGGAGGGTCACATGAGGAAAAAAACAAACTTTAACCTCATTGTAGAAAATAAATTACATGTATAATACATTAATACTCCCTGCATTTCTTTAACTTGTTCTTATTTACTTGTATTTTGCATGGTTTTCAAAACAAACAATCAAGCATTAATATATTTAAATACATATTATGAAAACATTCTTAACAAGTCCATATCAAGACGAATTAAACAAGATTCCACATATGTATGTATGAAATTTTCTTTTATACATTTTTTTTTTTAAAAAAAAGGGGTATTAGATTCCATTTGTATTAGAATTAGAATCTATAAGTATTCAAACATGAACAACATAAAGAAGTAGAGAGTACAAATTTGATAATATAGGCATACAGACTGTAGTTTTGGCAAGAATCCTAATATGACAATAGGAAGTTTGAAATATACATACAACTACACAATTACAAGTTGGCGGAGGTCAAAGAAGACGTCAGCAAAAGAGGATTGGATGTACAAGAATACAAGAAACGCTGCACATTAATCAAACATCAGTAATCAAATATCAACCAATGCATTATGTTAAGTATTAACATCATCGGAAATTATCAAATCCTGCCATCTTAGTTAAGTTAGCATATGCGAAGTGGATAGCTCATTCAGAGGTGCTCGCAATGCTGTCAGCCATCTCTGTACACTGTTTTGTCTCCTGTTCTGAGCCCTCTGCAATTCAAAATATCAAGGCTAACGATATGCAAGATTGATATAATGCCATAAAGGAGAAATGAAAGCATTGAACACGCAACTATATGTTTTTATCTTTCATCATATCATTTGCTACTCGTGCTGGATGTCCTACAGACTTATCTTTGGAGAACTGAAAATGATTTTGATTTGGTTAGTAAATGGCTAAATATCAACTTAGGTCACTTAACTTGGTCCTCTTTGGTATGAATGAGTAAAAAAAGTGTGATTCTGGTTTGTGTTTCTATTCTGATTTACCATGTCTGGGCTGCCAGGAATGCTGCGTAGAGAAATGTTTCAATAAATGGAAAAGGAAGAGGTGCAGGTCAGGGAAGCCTTTCTACGTAGTAGAAGATTTGATCGCTTATGGAATGTGCAAAGATATTCCCTCTTTAGTATTCAGCTTGTATTGTTAATTCATTCGTAATAAAGATTTCTACATTTTACCAAAAAGAAAAATTATTTAGGAACTGTAACATGACAATATAATTATTGGAATAAGAGAAGCTATTGTGGAAGTAAAAATATCTAGTCCTCCTCAGTCTTTTTATTGCTAGGCAAATGCATGTGCTCAAAAAATGCAAAGCATGTACATAGATATATTGTATAAAATCTGAAAAATTAAGTTCAAATAAAATTATGAGATCCAACAAGCTCAAATTAGTGTTTCAAGTAAAAAGAATGAAGTCTCAAGCAATAGAGAACTAGAGACAGAAAGACTCCACCTGTCAATTGATCATAGCGAGATACTATGTGCTTCGCATAGGGGACTTTTTTCAAAACAGTAAGATGTAATCGTATACAATTCTGCAATGTCTCCTTTTGCTTCTCAGAGCCAATCTCGAAAATCTTCTGAACCACATAATTTGCAAATTGGTCTTTCATCATCATCTGAATAAAACAGTTCAAAAAAGAGAAGAAAGATAAGGAACCAAAGGGACGCAATATTGCCATAATAAAACATCCTAAGAAACCCTGATTAATTCAGATTACTGTAATCCACAAGAAATTACTCAAGCACTTAACAAAGCACTTGGACTCTATAACCACACCAAAAGCACAATATTTACAAATTTGGTGTATTACAGATTACGAAGTTAAATTTGGCACACAAGGAGCATAAATCTCACAGTACTAGACCATTTTTCTGCATCAGGTATAAACTTTCAGAGTTATGAACAAATATCTTGCAAACTTACCAATAGTGCTTCATTGTTGTCAGACTGTGCAATAATTTCCTCAATTATGAGATTTCTCTCTGAATCGTTGCCATATTTTATGCATTTTTCAACTACATTGGACGCAAACTTATGCTGACTTAACTGTACAAATCGACCAGTCAACTTATGTATAATTTGGCTTCTTTGATGGGCCTTTCCCATTTCCATAACATGCTGCAAGGAAGTCAAAGTAGATCATTAGTTGCCGCATTTGAACAGTAACACTATGAAGCTTGCAAGCTTCTCCAAACACAGACAAGGAAATAACTTTAATAGTGTTAAGAGTCAATACCTGAGTAACATAGTTGCCATATGGGTCATGAGCAAGGGTCGAAGTAGATTTAAGGACTTCATCAACCATCCACTGACTTATCTGCTCATCTGAGCAATGCTCAAGAACTCTCTACACAAATAATAAAAATAAATACCTTATATGGAATTTCAAGATAACATTTATACAGCTGAAGTTTAAAGATACCTGGATGACACGACAACCATATGGGTGACATGAAAGTGTTGCAACTTGACCAATAAATGAAGAAATGATGAATTTAATTTTCTCAGTTGGGACAGATTCAATACATTTCTGTATCACGTGGTTTCCATTTTGGTCATGCACACATTTCATAACATGCCCGTCAAGCTCCTTCATAAGCTCCACTTTCTGATCAAGCTCGATTACTTCCAGTGCCTACAGCAAGATTTCAGGGGGAAATTGATTTTACAGGGACAACAGCAAAATAATATTGGTTAACAAAAATACCCTTTAACTAAGATTTCTTGCATGACCATTGTCTTATATTTTATTTATTTATTTTCATCCTCTGCCCGGCTTCTTCTTAATTTTTAACTTGTACATTTATGAACGAAAAGGGAATGAAAGGTGCATGTGAAACATGCATATAAGATTAGAAAGGCTCTAGAACTCCTTGTATAACAAATGACACTTTCGGTCATGATAGAGACAATATAGAAGAACAAAGTTTTAATTTCCTTCCACATTAGTAGAAAACAGAAATAATAATCATTCTCTGAACTTAAAACTTCATATAGATGAACACACTATAAACAATTTGAATAATTTACCTTTTGGATCACACGACAGCCATACATTTGCAAACTTAAGGTCAAAACCTGTCCAGTAAGTTGCTGGCCAAGCTTTCTCCTCTGTTCAACAGTTCCATGCTCGAAGAACTGTAAAACAAATGAAACACAATTCAAAAGTTTAAGAAATCCAACCACAATATATATATTAAATATGCAAAGACTTATTTGAAGACATAGCGGTGTTAAAAGTTCACCTTTTGAACAACATAATTTCCAAATACATCGGTCATTAATTTAGAAACTTGTGGAAGAACTTCTTTAAAGACAGATTCCTTCTCATCACTGCCACAGCTTTCTAGCTTTTGTTGAATAAAACGACTACCATGTTGATCAGTGCTGCAGGTGAATAGCCAGCCATGTCAATTAAATGGAGACCTAATTGTGCCAAAAACTAGGAAGCATATGAAAAGATGTTCTAAAAGCCTACCTAAACTCGACAATCTGGCCAGAAATTTCAGACAATTCAAGAATCCTAGAGCTGTTGGATTTAAGCAATTCAAGAAAAGAAGGCCGCTTAACATTATTATCAATACTGCTACTATCAGAACTCTCAGGTCCACCTTGTCTTTTCCATCCAGGATATGTAGCTGTACTTTTTGATGAATGTTGTGAAACACTCAGATCATTTCCTAGCCCGTGTAGAATAATCCTAGGTAATGTAGGAGGGGCTTGAAATTGTGGTTCTCCTAAGCTCGGAGGATATCCATAAGAGCTGAATCTAAGCTGAGTCCCACTTGTTAGAGGAAATATGCTCGGTATGTTTATTGCAGGATGATTTAGTCCCCTGCCATCTATTGAAGATGCACTTGCAACAGTGTCTCTTTGTGATGCAAGTGCATCCATCTGACACTGAACGGCACTTTTATGTGCATTCTCATAGAGTTGTTGAAAGCTTTGTCCTTGAGCAGGACCACCAAAAGAAGGCCGTAACACTTGACTTGCATATGGGTTCATTTTGCCAAGTAAAGCCTCCGCTGATTGCTTAAAGAAGCCAGGCTTCCCATATGTATCAATTGGCATTGGAAATGCATTACCCTGAACATAGCTGCCAAAATGAGGAGGTAAAGTAGAGTTGACACTTAATCCACTCAGAGAAAATTGTGGACTAGGGAATCCTGGTTGTGGTACACTTGGGTAAAAAAGGTTTCCTGAATTCATATGAGCAGCTGTTGATGCATATAATGGTGATACCAGTCCTGTGTTATGCATGAATGCCTGATGCAATGGTAGTGGCTTCTGATGAGAAGCATACATTCCTTGGGGAACAGCGTAAGCTTGGAATCCAGGTATCTGGTCTGGTGCGCCTTGTGAAGGATGAGGATGAAGCTTATTCTCATCAAGCAAGCGTAGATAGTCAAGTCTCTTTTGGTCTTCCTCTCTCATTATTTCGCATGAAACATCCAACAATTTCATTCTTGACTCTACTACAGAAACTTCAGACCCAATATTACTTTGGATAGACACATTATCCTCTAAATCAACAGTTCTGCAGTAAGAAACAGTTGATACAGAGGGATTGATAGAAGAACTCATGGTACTATGCTCATCATCAGTGTTTGAAACTCTGACATTGTCATGATCACTTCCTCCTTTGATAGTTGTACTGGATGCAATAGATGGAGCCTGAACAAAGTCTCCCTAAGCCACAAGAAAAGAGAAAAACCATGAGCAATATATGAAATTTGACACTAAAACTACTAGCTAATACTCTGCATCAGAAATACAGAAGCTCCTCAAAACCTATTTACAAGAAATAGATATTCCACACAATGATCCTAACTGATGTGTTCATATATGCAAAATTATAAACAGTGACTTCAATCACAGACTTTAGTATGGCCAAGTTACAAGTTACAAACCTCCTTTAGATCACCACTGCTTCCATTACGACCAGCTTCTGATGTCATCTTTGTACCATCCACAAAATTCCCCTGATCACCAGACATTTTGCGTGGTGAATTTGCTTCTTCAGGCTCCTCCTTATGAGTAGCCAGAAAACCTTCCCTTACAGAAACTTTTTTACCAACAAAACTTTCCATATGTTGCACCAGACGACGATTCTCTCGTGAGATTAGAGGAGGAGGCAGCCTCGGGTTTAAGTTAACATTAGCATAGTAATATTGAATATATGCTGGATCAGTTCGCATTTGGTCTTCAGGCTCACAGTCCAAAAACTCGTTGCTAGAGCTAGTCAGACTCGAATTTTGTTGATCCATAAAAGCCTGAAAGCCAACAATTGAACCCTCAATAGTAGGTGGAGCACTACCACTTCTACTAGGCATCATGCGAGTCTGTTCTTTGCGAACCATAGTCTCTTGTAAAACTTTGCCTACACCTTCATGACCAGCAACATTACTGAAAGGTGAAGAAAACAATCCAGAACCGGTAGCAGGTAGCCACTTTTTGGACTCATCACTGTCTAACATCCTGATTGGACTCTCAGTTGTCATCCTTCCTAGAGTTAAAGGTCAGCTTCTTCAACCCTCAGAGACTCTAATTTCAACGCTGCAGCCGGTAACCCTTTATAGCCCACGTTCTGCTAATCACAAAGAGTTCACATATAACTACTCAGATTATCAAACCATATCCTAAGAATGATGAGTAGTCTATGGATGACATAAAGAATGTGGTAGTCAGTAGCCTAACTATCAAGAGCAAAACAATATGGCAACTGAAGATGATGAATGTACAGCTTAAGAAAACAGAATGATGGTTGACTGGTACAAATTTAGAAAACAAGGACTAATTACAAGCAGGTTCTTTTCAAATTATACATAAAATGGAACAAGATACTTGTATCAAGTGTACAGTTGTGTTGTAGAAACCCGAGCACCCGACATGAACAGGTCAATCAGCTTCCAAGAACAACACCCTCCATCTCAAAATAGATGTCCCAATTGATTAAAGCCCACTGAAAGTAGCAATTCATTTGCTTTATTGTAAATCAAGGTTCTTAATTTTGTCATCCCTCTCCCCTCTCATTCTCTCTAGCCGTTGGATTAAGACTTAAGAGTTACTTTCTCCCTTTCCAAAATAATTATCTTACTTGTAAAGTTGTAATTGCTTCAAAATTACACACCACCTTTGACATTATTAATTATAAGTACTTAAGTATACAATTCACCCCCCAATCATAAGGCATGCTCCCAAATAGTCAAATATGTTGAGCTATCTTCTATCTACAATTCTACAGGGGATATTAAGTGTTAAGCCCTTAAATTCCTCTAAAAAAATTTCATGCTCCGAGGTGCACTTAATAATATACATTGTTGAATTTCAAACCAAAGTCTAAAGAAACAAACCCGCCCCCACCCCGGCCCCCAAGACTTTACCCGCTAAGGTAGCTAAAATGTAACAATCATTTTACAATTCCAACATCACAAGTCTCACCATAAACATACACGAAATAATTATATAAGATTCCAATTTTCCAACATCAGTAAATAAACAAAATAATACAATTGGCAAACAATAAGTCGAAAACACAGATTTTTATCACAAAAAAAAAAAAAAAAAAAAAAAAAAAAAAAAAAAACCTTCATTAACAAGCAAAATTAAGCCTTTCAATTCTTTAAAAAAAAAAAATTAAGCCTTTCTAAAAAAAAAAAAAAACCCATAAAATTGCATTATTATGAAAAATGACAATAATTAGCAAACAATTATTGTCAACCCCAAACAGTAAAGTTAAAGGTAAACCAAAAAAAAGGTTGACAACAAAACTTACCTTCCACCAAAAAGGGAGAAAGTAAAATCCCTTTAAAAGAGCAGTCAAAATCCCAACTTTCTGGAAAATTATGATCAGAATTTGGAACAGAAGAAGGAGAAGAACATGGAAATGAATGAACCCTTTTGATCAAATAATATCCAAAACTATAGAATATGAATAAATTTGCTGGTTGGTGCAAGATCATAGATTAAAAACTAATTTAAAGATGCAAGAAATATAAATATAATATACCGTATAATATTGAAATAGTAGCATTAGTACTTAATTATTCATGAAGTCTCACACGTCACGAAATAGGAGTGTTGCCATTAACATTGAAAAAAAACAAAGAAAAAGAAAGGTTTCAAGTCCTCATGTACAACTGACCCGACTAGGTCCATGCTGTGTACATTTTAGACCTCTTTGGCCTTGTTGTGACTTGTGAGCCTGTGACTACGGACTATAATTAAACTAGTACTCCGTATTCTGTATCCCTTGCTCTTTTACTCGAGTCGTGTTTAATTTTTCTATTACGGAGTATTTTTTTAGTTCCTCTGTTTCTCAACGCACTGTTTTAAGGAAAGTTAAATATAAGATAATATAGTGAGATTTGGTTGATAATTGTAAATACAAAATAAAGTAGCGGATAAATAAAGTTTTAAATATGGATAAATTTTTATTGTGATATGTAAAGGTGACAACCAAGTTTTTTGGAATAGGTTTTGGTCAAGTCATAATCAAGTAAAAGTCCTTCATTTCAAGTTTAAATTTGGTCAACTCAAGCTAGGTAATACTTCATATTAGAAGCTATCATCAATGATCTGAATACTTCCTTCAACCCTTATTTTATACCATTTGACCCAAAAAGTGGATCTACGGTGCAAAAAAAGGGACGGAGGGAGTATGATGCTATAGTTATGACTCACTAGTCACTAATAATTAAGTCAATCCGTAACTAATCAAATTAAATCGAGTCAGGTCAAATTCTAGTCAAGCGGATACTCCATTGTAACTTGAAATTCAAATTTTCAGATCTACATGAAAATAGATTTCATGTAATTTCATCTTGAATTGTCCTGGGAGTCTTATGCAGTTATGCTACCATGTATAGAAATGACATAATGTTTCAAAAATAATCTTTGGTTGGCTTGAAGTCTTGAACCATGCTATAATATCAATATATTCTATTCCTATTTACTTAAAATCAATTTGAAAATAAAAAATTAAACATATACAATAAAATAAAACAAGGGTTGAGACCTCCATTCCTCCAAAATGCCAGTGAAGAACCTGTCAATACTTTCAGGAGTGAAGAGATCATAGCCATTGATTTAAAAATTACTAGTAGCAGATCACCAAATATTCATGCCCAGCTACATAATTAGTCAAGGGTAGCATAAACTAACGGCTTTTCAAACATATGATAAGTCAGAAGCCAATGTTTTTAAGCCATTATGACTCACTACACCCCAGGATTAATCAGCATCACAATGACGGTAGAACATAGGAGGGACTACTAACTAAGTGCAGCATACGACAAAATCTCCACCGCATTTGTGCCTCGAAGGAAGGAAATCGGAAAAGGCATATACGCAGAGTTGGATGAAAGGGAGTTGGAACATAATGGTGAAGAATGGAGTCTTTTGCAATGCAGGCCTTCAACAAGGAAACAGAATGGGAGAGGGATCCCTGTGGAGCTTCCCTTGTGTCAGATCGAGTTTTCTCATCTTGTCTTCGCACCAAAGCAGTTGATCTTTTGTGATCATAGCCATTCTTAGAACCCTTGACACAACTTTGGCATCGATGAGACTTAGGAGCAGAATTACTTCTTCGTGTGTTGATGGCCATGCCTTCTTTTTGAAGCTCTTCTTCTTGCGCAATTCCTTCAGTTTTAACCCTTTCTGCAATCAAAGTACCAATGATAATGGATAGGTTCAGACTTTTTTTCTCCCTTTCACATGTTTTTGACATTGCCACCGCCAAAAAAGAGTTACCATCCAGATAGTTTATATTTTGAGGCAAACGCAATATGAACCAAGGCCATGATTAAACTGAGAATTAATATGGACCATAGTAATTCCTCTGATATACTGTATGAAAGGCATATCGATTGTATAATCAAATAGGGAATCGAAATTTCAGTGACTACTGCAAATTTCCAACTAAAAAACCAACGTATGCCTTCCATGCAAGCTGAGAAAAAGAATGAATCTGAAGCAAGGATCAATACCTTTTCTGAAACTGACTGAACTTGCTGAAGAGGTGTAGCCATTTGATTCTGGCTTCCAAACAAATTACGAACCCCACCGGCCTTTTTCTTATCCAACCTCAAGAATGAGTAGAAAGTCAAGATTGATGTCTGAATTAACTTAAGAAGGTCAGGGGCTAGAATCCTGTAATCTGATTCCTCATCTTCAACCGCATTCTGATAGATACCTGAACCATTCAGTAAGACAATCTCATCATACTTTATTTTGACTGCAAGTAATGAGATATCCAGCTTTAAATAATACTCCCTCTGTCTAGAACAAATAGTCCATGCCACAACTTAAATGACCCAACTATGATAAAAGGATCTTTTTGTAAAAATCATGTCACGTTCTCAATTATGACTTATAAGTAGTAGGGATAATGTGAGAACTAATTTTAGACAGAAGAAGCATATCAGAGGTTCTCCTATACGGGATCTCACCTTGCACCTTCGGAACCTGTAGTAATTTGGACAAAGAATTTCGGCTTCGAGCATATTTTTCTACTCTTGAACCTTGCTCAAAAGGCTCATTTTCAATAAATCTCTGTAACAACACCTCAAACTGCTGATATTGCTGTGCGCAGTGGTTATAACAAGTAGGATTCTCAGGCTGACAAGATATCTTCTGGCTCAGCTGTGTGTACTGGCTATGAAGGGCTTCCCATGTTAAGCAAATATGAGCTACATAAGCTGTTTCGAGGTCCTGGAAAGGACTATCATCTGGTTGCTGCAGCTGCTCAGTGTCACTATCAGGCTCTTCCATCTTTTTCAGGGAAAGGCATCTGAAAGAAGATACAAGCTTTCTAGATCCAGCTCTTGGAGATGGCGTCGAAGGACTCATGGGGCCTGCATCACAAGAGCAACACGATTTAAGTTCAATCTTTGGATATAAAATAAAACAGATGGGTGTTGGCAAGGGTTTTAAAACATATAATAAAATTCATTCAAACACTAAGGCTAAGCAGGCTAACCGTTTCCAATAAGATTAGCAGCAATAGCATTTTGAGCCATAATCATACTAATCAAGTAATCAGATTGTAAGATTTAGCAACTTGTAATATCTTATATGGCACTGTCAGCAAGACACAACTCAATAGAGGATCATTTAGCCACAGACTTGATAGCAAGACCATGATATTAAAGGAATTCACTTTCTTCAGAATCAACTTATATAGATACTAAAGAGATTTACTTTCTTCTTCAATTCATACTAAACAGGTAAGAACATGAAATGTGAACAGCTAAGCCAACAAAGTTTAACTTAAGCAAATATGAGCACAAAGGAACGCAAAAGCTGGTAGCACATGCTCAACTAAAAGCCTATTCCATTAAAAGAAAAAAGGCATTTCCTTTCTAATTATGGTAGGGATGATAATAACATGCTAGATGTTAAGCTCCTAAATTAAATCATTTTGATATCTATAATTCAAATGATCTCAGCAGAAAATGCAAGAAATGTAAAATAAATGTTGGCACCAAATTGGGCTGCATTATTGCTGGCTAGTGGCTAGTTGGTGATACCGTGATAGAACCTCAAATTGTGAATGGGACAAAAACAACATAACTTCTCTCAACTGGAGTAAAAGTAAAAGGCACAATTTAGCTAAATATGAAGGCATATCATGTTATCTTTTAAGCATCAATCAAATTTGAATCTTCACAGCAGCCAACACGCTCAAAAACTTGACATAATAACAAGGTAAATGACAGAGGCACATTATCAAGATAATTAATTACAAATTAAAATACACATGAAAAATGAAACGATGACCCCCTCAAGGCCTCGATATTCAAGTCAAATGAAGCTTAAAAATCTCTTAACTGATCTTGGATTGCAGACTAAGATCAATAACTGACCGGCTCTCAACAACATATTAGAACAGAAAGACAAATTTCTGAAAAATTCTTGGCAGGTAATATGTCCTTTCAACAAGCATGATACAAGGCAACAAATAAACACCTAAAAACAAGAGCAAATAAAATCTAGAAGCCTTAGATGAAACCCTTGCAAAGTAAAAGGATAATTAAAACCTTTGTGAACCCAAAAGCATAAATTCATCTAAAAAGTAATCATTCAGCAACGAACACCACGTACCAGCCACATTGAGTTGCTGAGAACTCATCCGATCAAAGAACAGCATCCGCTCACAATACTTTTCGTATATAGATTCTAAATCACAGTACAAATGTTCAACTTGAGATCCCACATCTCTTCCCTCACTTGAGCTTGTCTCACCTTCCTCCCCGTCCTCCTCTCCTTCAGCACCTTCCTCTTCCGGTATCAGTACCATAAAGCTGTTTCTCCTCAATTCTTTCAACCTCCTCTTCACCTCATTCGTGATGAAATCATCATCATCATCATCCACATCAGCAGGAGCATCCACAACAACTGATTTACCATTAACATTGCCATTCTCATTGTTCGGTTCCTCCGGATGAGGAATCGGCTTCTCCTCTAACTCCTCATGCGGATTTGGTTTACGAGCTTTCCTAAATTTCCTTACTTTAAAGAAATCCATCACCAAAGATACAACAACAATCCAAACCAACTTTCCTCGAAACAGATACCACAAACTAGATTCTCCCAACTAAAGGTGAAAAATCTCAATGCACAAAGATACAGCAACAATCAAAACCAACCTTCCTCGAAACCGATACCCTTAACTAGATTCTCCCAATTAAATGCTCAAAATCACAATGCACAAGGCCAGGTTTCTTGCAGTAACAAGCACCAATATACTAATTAACTACCAACTGCAGATAAACCCTACTTTATCACTAATCATAGTCAGAACTCACTTGCTTGGCAGACTAAAACAGCAAAAATATATCACTGAATCAAGCCACATTCCCTGCAAAAGGTACCAAAATAAGAAATTATCAAAGATCTATCAAAAATAAATCAAAAGGGTTAAAATGGAAATGTTACAGCATAAAAATGGGATACTCCAAATTCTCACAGAAATATGTAACAAGGAAACTGACTTCAAAAATGCTAGCAAGATACCAAAAAAAACTTATTCAAAATGACTATAAAGATCCTATTTTTAAGTACCCTAGACCCTGTAATCAAATCCGGTCTACATCATTTTCCTACGCCACACAGTAGCATTCATACACCCAAAATAAAGTTCAAAAACCCATAGCATTATGAAAATGCAGGGGAAATCAAGGCAAAAAACAGTTGAACAGCAAAAAAATTACATGAATATCAGAAGATCAACTCACAAATTTTAACCAAAACCCCATTTTTCATGATTCACAGAAATAAAACTTACCAGAAAAGAAAAGAAAAAAAAAAACCCAAAATCAAAGAAACCCAGAATGCTCAAACCATGTGATTTAAAAGAAAGACAGAAAAACAGAGAGAAAAAGAGTTGAGAAAGTACCAAATGTGTGAGTGAGTGAGTAAATGAGAGCTTGGTGAGTTAATTACTCATACAAGCATTAAAAACCCATCTCCCATTTAATTTTTTTTTTGCACTTTTTTTTTTTTTTTCCTCAATTTTCTCGTGAAATGTAATAGTAGCAGCACAAGTACAAGAAAAAAAAAAAAAAAAAAAAAAAAAAAAAAAACTTTTTTTTGTACTCCACTAAATGCTGGTATTTTTTATTCTTGTTGTTTTGTTTTTTTTTTTTTTTGCTTTTAAATATTAAAAAAATTAGTTAATTTATGATTTTAGTTTGAAGTTTTGGGGACTTAAAAACTTTGAATTTTAGAAGAAAGTGTAGATTTTATTTTGACATTTGTTGAGGAACCCTAGGACTAACAACAATCAAATAATGAATGCCAATGTCTTTCTCTCTCCTCCTTAACACTTTCTCTCTCTAAAATGAAGTGTGCAAAGGAATATTGTCAGAGAAAACCCTCTAAAACAGAAAGGCCGCGAAAGCAGAGGTTTTTCGAGTAGCTTAGCATGAAATTACAATTTTACCCTTTGTGTGTTTTTTTTTTGTTTGGGGTATGATGCAACATGCATGGATTTGGAATATAGTGAAATTTTATGGCGATTTTTTTTTTTATTATTATTTATTACTTTTATTTATTTTAAATAAATAAGATGGTTGGATACTTTGGATCCCATTTTATGCTCTGAATTTCTGATCTAAGGTTGTGTGGGGTGTGGGGCCCAAAACCTAGATCCCAAAATTAGTTTTTATGGGATAAATTTATCATGGTCAAAGTAGTCAAATCCTTATTCTGAATCTTTTGTTTTATAATGACTGACTAATGAAGCACAGTTTAAAGATTGCATGAGTTGGTAACTGTGGTTATGACTTATAATGCTTTTTATGTCATCCCCCTCTTTTGCAAGCATTTTGATTTTTGTTGTCCCACTCCCTTTTTGAAGGCTTGTAGAGTTGTAGCATATTTGGAGTTGTAAAAACTTCACCCGAATTGAGAAACCCGATTCTAATTCAACAATTATTTTATTTGATATAGTTTCTTTGTCTCTTAATGATTGTTCTATGTATTAATGGATACTCATACTCTGTATTTTATCAAAGTTTGATTAAAGGTATGCATATAGATTGACAAAGTTGTGCATACGTGGAAAGAAAAAGTGCGTAAGAAAATATACCAAAAATCCAGAATAGACATCAGGAAAACTCAAAAGAACATTCCAAAATGATATATGGGGTCGTCTTTATGAAGCAAAGAGAGTAACTTGGAATGAGGTTAGATTGAATTGGCATGAACCAATTTAATGTCAACATATCATCCGATTTGACTTACAAAATTAGAAGATGTTTGTTTCGGTGGATAAGGAAGGAGGGATGTGAATAAAAATAAATAAAATGAAGGGTAGGGATGTGTATAAATCCCCCAAGGAGACTTAGGCTATTAATAACAGTATTTAGTTCTATGACAGATAGACAATTTATTGGATACCCATTAGTCATAACCACATTATCACCTCATGCACAAACTAGAGCATTGGCAAATTAGTGTAACTCATATATTAATGGTCAAACTAATGCATTGACAAATGTACTAAGGTTGCACAAATTAGAGCTTTGGCAAATTAGTGTAATTCATATATTAATGGTCAAACTAATGCATTGACAAATGTACTAAGGTTGACGGTACCAGTTTTTCTAAAACAAAGGTTGAAGGTATTACAATTTTATTAATAGATGAATAGATTTCTGAACAAACAAGCCAAACTTATTCATATTGACAACTTGTAACACTTGCATCCAATCTCGAGCAAGTCTTGACCTTTATCAAGCTCATAAAGTCAAGCTGTGTAATATGTTTGAACATTTTTACCCAATAAAATTCATACAGTACTCTGCAACAATTTTTAAAATTAACTATGTTTTGAGATCCTCAAAATTATTTCGCAAATCTTTGCAAGTAATTACTCCTGACTGTAAAAATTATGAGTAAATCGCTTAAAATAATTTGATCATGTTCGCAAGTAGGGGTGGTTATTGGGTAGGGCTACCCAATGATAAAAGGGTCGGTCCTAATATTAAAGGGTTTTGACCCTTTAAATTTTTAATGGACAGGACTTTCACAGGGTCTTATTTTATAGAGGGCTTTTATTGGGTCTTATTTTTTAATGAACAAGGCTTAAGAATTAAAATAAAAAAACCCGATAATAATGGTTAGGGTCAGCCTTACTTTCATTTTCTCTCTCTTCTCCTCTGTTCTTGCGCCCACCTTTCTCTCTCCTCCATTGCCGCTTCTCACGAGTTCTCCATTGAAGCGCACTCAGAGTTCTCCATTGAATCCGCTTCTCAGAGTTCTCCATTAAAGCCGCTTTCCGAAGCATCAACGGCGCGGTCAAAGGAGAGAGAAAATCATCACATCGTCAATTACCTTCTGCCGGCGATTCTATGGCGGCGGCAATCGGCGATCCTTCTTCTTCGTCGAGTACCAAATTTTGTTCCATTTGAAGTAATTTACATTCCAATAGTTTATTTTATTCTGACTTGTTATTACAATAATTACAATTATAAACTAACTATAAATGATAATTTTTGTCAATTGGTTCATTGATTGTACCTTAAGCTACCTGAATCCAACTAATTATGTCACTCGACAGATATTAATAAAAAAAATTGAAAATATGCAGAGCTAAATTTGAAAATCCATATCAACATTTTTGAGGCAGTGTTTGGGAAATTGCTAGAATTTAAATTCTAGAATTTCAAATTCATCATGTTGTTCGGATAGAATGTTAATATGAATTAGATCTAATTCAACAAAATTTTCAAAAGACTAAAAATACAAGAACAAGCTCACCATTATATATTAATTTCTCATTACTCATCTATGAAAGATTTTGTTATTATCACGAAGAGGAAGAGAATAGGGGTCAGATTGATTTTGGGGAATTTGGTTTCATTTTCCTTTTTAATTTCATTTTATTTATTTTTATTTTCCTTTTTCTTCTCTGTTTTCAATGTGGATAAAGGCCCGGTAATGACCCGTTTCACTTTTTATCTCGACCCTGACCCGCTAAATATTCATCTTGACCCGCAATCGACCCGCCCCGCTAATGACCCGCACTGACCCACCCAATAACCACCCTTATTCGCGAGCATCTCATGTCATCAATGTTCGTTGTGCTACACGCTTAATTATCAACCTTGACACCAACTAGAAAAAGAATTGCAAGAGTAGACTCATGAAGAGCAAGAGGCTGCCAGTTAATCTCCGTGATAAACAAATTTCGTTTATCACACAGTAAAACCGCTACCTCAAGTAGCGATTTCAAGGCAAAAATTACACTTTTGTTCCCGTAATATGTTTATCACGGAGATAAACTTGTATTTCCTCGAAGAGTAGTAGCCACTAGCCAGTGGGGGGTAATAGGACCCATTGGACCAGTTTTCGGGCGACCCCTACACTATATTGGGTCATGTCACTCATGTGAGTGTGAGTCCTCCTGTTTCATCATTGCCTTACAGCATAGTACAATCAAAAGATGTTCTCAAACAAATCAGAAACACACAATAAGTCAATAACATTCATGTGTCAACCCACTCAAAGTAACAAATCTAATAATAATGAACCAAATTCCATAATCTGTTTAGTAATCAGTATTTACCACTTGCAATGGGCTCACCATTACTCCATTACATGTTTTTAACTGTACGCCGACATTTATAGACATCAGTCACGTAGTGTTTGAGTGTCTACATCATTATTGAGTTGCATCATCGTCATTGCTACATCTACGCACTGGGTAATATACTACCATACTTGATTTACATGGCTGAGGGAATGCACCGACCGTTTCTTTTTTCTTCTTTTTTTGTTAAACTGTATGCCTATCGATATATACCACATCAGATGGGAAATCAATTAGATACTATTGCATTTGCTTTTCCAACTACACTTAATGAGTTCTAATTAGGTGAAAGTGTGAAACAAAGGGATATTTTTTTTTTTTTTTTGTTGTTGTTGCAAAGGTGAGACAAGGATTAGTAACCTAACCAAGTAGATGGTATTGGCTGGAATCTAGACTTAGCACTTCCCAAGAGATCATAGTAATCGTCATGATTCAAGCAGTCGCGGAAATCTGTGAAAAGCTTCTCAAATATCCTCCGCAGCACTTTGTTTGATCTTGAATATGGAAATGGAAGAAACACCTGAGGTACAGAAAAAGAATGATATTCAAAAGGTCGCTCACACCTTGGCAGGCTACAATTGAAAAACATTACTTGAGGATGATAACAAAATTGCATCCTATGATTCCTAACAAGTCAATTTGTGCATGTTATATACTTCATATCAGGTATACATGATGATTTCTTACATTTCCCTCCAGAGCCAAACGCTTAAGTACATGGAGCGTCCTATCGTCTTCCTCTAAATTGTCAATGACAGCAAGCCAGATCAGAGAAGCAAGCTTGTGAGCTCTTTCTCTTGGATTCCCACATGATATGAACTGATCTGCCGACAAGAAGAGTGGGTGAGTAATTGACAGATTAATTAACGTGCGTAGCACATATAGATAGTCTAACTTCATGAGGTTTCCTAGCACAAGATACCAGACCTAATTACAACAACAGATCAACCTAACAAATCCTGATAGTTGAATGCAGAACAAGCTAAAATGATGTATAGAGCTTATATCACTATGCTTTCCACCAGTACCAGGTGTTTATGTTTCTCAATATTATAGAGCAGGAATTGCATACCTTACGGAAATATAATTTAATGATTGACAATGAATTATGATAGATAAATCTCTGATGTTCACCTATTATTGTCCCATGAAGTATTGTAGAAGGGGCGGGCATGGAAGATTTCTCAAGTTGTTCTTTCAGAAAAAGGTATGTATGACCAACAATCTCATCCATCTCATCGCCTAGGGCAAAGATGTGTCTACTGATATACAAAGCTGTGAACCTCCTGCATACATAAGCTGGAACATTAAAAGCTAGTATATGCCCTTATTAGCATTATCACAATCTTAACACCAAAATATGCTATATGAGGGATAGGCGGCATAGACATAGTAATGTCAAGGAGAAACTGCTCATTAAAGGTCCACCTCACTCCAAAAAGAACTGAAGAGCAACTCAATTTCTCACTTCAAAGGTCTCAATTTGAGCTAAGGATGTCACAACAAAATAAGTTATTTAAAAATATTGTACTTTACTATGAGTAATTTACAAGTTCTTTAGATAAAGGTTAGTTATTCAATGATCAAAAGCTGTATATTGGCAAGCACAACTTATAGTCTTTACCCCAAAAAACTGAAACTAATTTCATAGTTGATCATATTGAAGAGGTACCTTTTACTTAATCCTCGAGGAATTGGTCCTGGCCACCTTTTTGCCAGACCAGCAAAAGGATACGTCTTTACAAGAGCAGCTTGCCATAGACACTCTCCTTCAAACAATTTCGCCCATTGTTTCTTGACACAAGATATTTTAGCCCAGTCAGTGACAGGAACTCGAATAAATATCTCAACTAACAAATGATCAGGCAGCTTCCCAAGTGGATTATCAAGTGAATTTGCAGTTTCCTTGGCATAAGTCATGAGGTTCCTGAAGCAGAGTTGATAATTCATATATCAAGAGACAAAGATGTCGACCATGTAATGAAGAAAAACGAAACACACGAGTAGACATAGTGAAGAAAAAGAATGATGAGGAAGTACATGAAGATCATTGCTCAAATAAAGAACAAGTTAAAATTTACCAAAATCAGGAAGCAGATTTTAATGTAATACAACAACTTTCATTGCTAGGGGGATGAAGGTTAGAGAGGAATGCGGTTTGGTCTAACATACTGAAGTATTTCCTTATTTATCTGCTATGAATCGACATATTGCAGAAAATGATGAACTAAAAATGATGAAGCTGATATTACATTTAATTGAAGATGAATGCCAAATATTTGATAGACTTGACGCTCTCCCAAAGGTAAAATAAACTTCTTATTTCTTCACAATGCCTCCTCTTCCTACCCTGATACTCTCCTCTACTTATGTAGGCTTCCTGGTTCCCATTTCTCTCCAGCTATTTCCTGCCTATTTCCTCAAGCTTCGGAACAAATTTATTCTGCATTTCCAATTATACCCCTCCTACTGCTTGTTCAATACATGAGCTTAATATCAAACGTCATAATCTCGTGAACAATTTCAGTTATCTTTGGATGTCAGTTATTTCTCAAACAAAGAAGACACTAGTGCACAACTTAGAAAAGTCATCAATTAAGTCATACATATTTTTCATCAAAGCACTTAAGAACACTCCATCTTTCTTCCAAACAAGTCCATATCTTTTTCTGATAAGATCAATCTATTGAGTAAAGGACTAAAGGTAAAATTCTGTAGCTCCACCACACTTTATAGAGATTCTCTATACGAATAGTCGAATACAAGTCTAAGATTCCCACTTATCCTTTCACCAATAGGCAATCCGATCTCAGATGCTTCCGGCCTCAAACGAGCCATCAAGAATTTCCATCTACTATTAATCCACAAGAATTGCATCAACACCATAACACCTTAGATGCTAAGAATCTAGATTGAACTACTCAACAGCTTACAACTTAATTCGTTAATCAAACAGCTAATTTGGGGCATAAAGTCATAATCTGAGTGATAAAACCTTCACCCCACCTGCTAAATTCTCCGAAACCCAACAATTTAATCATAGTACAGAGTTTGAACAAAAATCCATGGAATTGAAGATACATATGTAGCATAAAATTTGTATTATCACGCCAAAAAAATTCTAGTATTTGTTAATCCATCACAAGTCTAGTATTTGCTTCCATCATAAATTATTATAATTTACAAGGTAATTTCATAAACAGACAAGGTAATTTCATAAACAGATTGATCAAAGATAAATATAAACTATCTCCACGAAATTCTCACTAAGGTCCCTTTTTTTCCTTTATTGGGCATAAATTAATTGATCCTACACACAAAATTACAACAGAAAACAGCAGAACTTAACCAGAATATCAAACAAACAAATTCTTGCGATTCTTGATAATACCACAGAAATTACACAGATTAAATAAGCTATATAGAGTAATTACTTACAATTTCAAGCAAAATATGAACAAAAATTGGAACTTTAACAAACCTAAGAAACAAAGTTAGAGAATTTCTAACCTGTTTAGAGAAAAATTTGAAGGTAGAGAAGAAGTGTGAGGTGAGAGGTGAGCGGCAGCGCAGATAATATTCCTAGTTTGATAGCTGCTGCTGCTGCATACAAGTATACAGGTACTGTTACTGTAACAAGAAGATGTGGATGAATTAGATACAACTACACGTCTACTAAACAATTTTAGCTGGAGAAGTAAATGGGTTTTTTCGGGTCCAGAGAGTCACGGGTGACAATATATCTTTGTCGCATACACAACAATGATGTTATGTGCTGAACAAAAACAAAGGGTTTAAAGGAGTTTATGTATAATGAATAATGATATACTTTGTAAAAGGAATTCGATCTACGGTTTTTACCTGACACTATTGACTTTATTGTATAGGCTATGCATTTACAAATTAGAAAGCAAATACTCTTATTTGTTTCTAAAATGTAACTCGCTTAGATGTACAGTTATTAAAGGTGGAATACTGTTATTGAAAGGAATTATAACTATTAAAGATGGAATACTGTACAAAATCCAAGCAAGTTACACTTTTAGGAACGAACAAAAGTATTTGCTTTCTATGGTTTATTAACTTGAATACTATTCACGCGGCCAAAAGAAAATTACTTTAACCATATTTTCTTTTGACCACATAAATAGTAAGTAAGTTAAACTTTGATTAATAAAAGTTAGGATGTATAGAAGTCATATCATTTTCTTCATGGTATTGTTAGTGTTTTAATAATTACGCCCCACACCCTAGTGCCTAGTAGTATACCGAAAGTTTTAGATTGAGATGAAGTCGACGAATAAATAAGTAACAAGTTAGGCCCTGTTCACTTCACCTTAATTTTGCTAAACTGAAATTATTTTTACTGAACTGAAATTATTTTTACTGATTAAAACTGATTTTTACTGATTAAAACTGAATTTTACTGAACTTATATTTACTGAACTGAAATTATTTTTACTGATTTAATATATATATATATATATATATATATATATTAGGTAAAATAATCTATTTTTGTAATTTATATAGTTGGCATATATAACGATAATATATTATGCCAACCATATAAATTTACATAATTATCGTATATAAAAATGATTGGCTTATATATTATGGGAATATGTATTTGATATACTTGTATATGATATTAGGTTTAGGGATACTGTCTTTCGTTGCCTGACTTTATCGCCAAACATACCAAAACAATAAAACTAATAATAATAAGAATAAAATTTAACTTTATTATAGTCATAAATTATTACAAGGATTGCTTCTTATAGCATATGACTATTTATGTTTATTATTCAACGTCCATATGATGATCTTCTTCCTCGATGTCCCTAACTGATTGCCAAATATGTTCTGCTATCTGATTTTGCACTATATCCATCTGAGCTTTCCTACCCTCATCAAATATGGAGTATTCCACTCTAGGCTCAACATTTGCACATCTTTCTGAAATTGGTATCCCTAAAGTGTACAATCGGATAAAATTATGAAGAGTAAACGTTGATAAGATGATTGATAATTGATATGTTTGAGACATTTGTGGCATGTTTTTCAAAATTTTCCATTGCCCCTTAACGTTGCCAAAACACCTTTCAATTGTAGTACGCAATGATTAATGACGATAATTGTAATGTTCCAGCATTCCTCAAGGTGGAGGACCATTGTGAAATTCCGGCATATGATACCTTGTCTGCTTGTCTTTAATTGGACTCAAATAACCGAGTATGTTAAGATAATCAGAATCCACTAAATAATATTTTCCTGATAAGAAAATAAATTTTTTATTAGAATAAATTATCCTGCTAAAAGAAAATAATATTAAGGAATTACCTACCTAGAGGAGGGTGTGGAAATTCAAATTTAGGATCAGTTAAGCAATTTCTCCACACCGTTATATCACGAGCACTTCCTTGATATCCAACATTGACAAACGTGAATAACCTATTAAAAGAGCATGAGGCTAGTACATTCCAAGTTTTAGTTCCTTTACATCCTCGAAACGGGTGACCATCACCATCGGAAACAACTGCACTAATATGAGTTCCATCTAAAGCACCAACACAATCCTAACACATGAAAATTAATTTTTTTATTATTAAATTATGCTTTTATAAATGCATTTTTATGAAAATTAAATAACATACTAACCTTTAAAAAAGGCCAATATAATGAGTTTTCTTGTACTTCTGGTGGTGTATTGGCCAAATCTTGATAAGGACGAATTAAATCACATGACAATCTTGTCAATGCTTGCAACACCCTTCTGAAATATTTGCTAATTGTGGATATTGAGTGCTTAAATGTGTCAGCATCTTGGCGTTGAGATGCCCCTCTTGCCAATATAAATAGACCAATTCCTACTTGTTCAACCACTTTTACAAACCTTCCGTCCGATAATAAATTTTTTTCTATCATCAATTGGACTAGTTGCACAAACATATCCCTATCTAATCTTAGCTGCTCTTTAAACAAACCAGGATGAACCGTTAACAACCTTGTTATATATGCTGAGCCACTTTCACCCCCGATCCTTAAAGGTAAGTGATGAATTAGGGTAAGGAGTCTCAACAATTCATATAGTAGCAAAAACAATATGCATTTATGAAGCAACTCATTGTCCATTCTACAATATAAAAGCAACAACAAGAAGTGAGATCTCAAATTTAAACAAAAAATATAAAAAAAATATAAAAATATATTAACATATAACCTTCAATATGTAGATGATTACAAAAAGTATTGTATATTTTTATGATTGCCGAATTCGTCCCACTCAAGTAGTATATATATAAGCAAAACTACATGCAATAATAATAATAATAATAATATTATTATTATTATTATTATTATTATTATTATTATTATTATTATTTATTTATTTATTTATTTAGTAAAATGAAAGTAATAAATTGTTCATTATTAAAAAAATAATAAAAAAAAACCCTAAAAGTTGATGATAATTTCTAGGAAAATTTGTCAAAAAAAACCTTTTAAACGATTTTTTGTTTAAAAAAACCACCACGATCACTTTTTTTGTTTAATGAAATCTGGGCACTCTTTTCCGGCATTGACTCCCAATTTCAGGCGTTGACCCATGAGTTTTCCTACTAGCAGCCTACAGTTAGATAATTGCACTCCTTTTTTTTTATTTTCCCTCTTATTTTCCTTCTCCTCCCTACCAGCCACCCCCATCCCCCTAGCCTAGCTGGATTCCGCTACCACCTCTTATTAAAGCTTAATTGTTGTATCAACTAGTCCATTGATTAGTGATCAGACATGTACAACAGCCCAATCCCTTGCGAATAGGATACTTAGATGATTGTTATTTCTATTATAAAATTAAACCCATAAGGCTTGTTTTGTATAAGGTCATCTCAGGTATAATGACATCTGTGTGCAATTTTGCATGGATTTTCATATGTCAACGTACAAGGAAATGCATCCCCACTGGCATACAATTCAGCTCTAATCATTGATAATCATAACCACTTATAAGTTATTACAGCCTTTAGGTGCATGTATAAGTGATAAGGAAAATCTGTGAAGAAAAACCTATTCCTAAGGGATTCTGTACAAACTAGCCGAATGCTGATACTACTTAAATGAGGAATTCGATCTGTAATAAACCGTGAATCTTCAGAAACGTGTAATTTCATTCTGTTGTTGCCTATTCCTTTTATAATCAAAGGAGCTTGTACATAAACCAGAGCATGTATGATTTACACCATACAAAATCTATAATAGTGAAAAAAAAATAAAAAAAAATAAAAAGATAAACATACAACGTCAAAAAAAATAAAATGAAATTATTTTATTCATATTATAACGAAGGACAAAAGTTTTTATTAAAGTAAACACTCATTTTTTTCATCATAATAATCTCCACCACATTAGTTTTTACTACTTATGACAAGTCCAAGTCATTTATTTCATCATCTAATTGGGGAGTATAATAGTCTCCAGGAAAAGCTATGCCCCTTGACTTCAACCAAAGCAATTTCTGATGATTAGTAGCAAGTGCCATGAAATATTCCCCATTGTGATCTTTAGTTAAGTACTCCAAAACATGGATATAAAAAGAATCACTGTAATCTTTCATTTGAGGAATCTCTTTAAGAGTTGCAGCAAGAAGATTGAACTTTTCTTGTACTGGATTACTTTGTACCTTTGATGACTCAGCCTGAATAGTTGACTTCACAAGCTCTATACACTTATCAATGTCACTCATCCTCTTTTTATTAATTTTACTAGTTTCCCCCAAACTCTTACGCTTTCCTGGAGGAGGTGATATTCTAGAAGAATCATTCTCATGATCTACATTGTTATCCTCGGGGGTTAAGTTTAAAGGATCATCTTGCTCATCATCATTGTCTCCTGTGGGTTCTTGATCTTCATAATCGGAAAATAGTGATGCATTTTTTGCCATTGATGGGGAGATAACCAATTTATTGGTTGCAAAAGTGCCCTTGAAATAAGCATGCAGCAGATCTTCATTAGCTAATGGCCTCTTCAAGAATTGTATGGGTCTTCCTTTAAGTTTCTGTATAAAAAAATAATTACAGTAACTAAAATTACTACATCATTAACATAATTTGAATAATAGATGACAAAAAACAAAGTTTAATACCTTAACAAATGCAGCCCACCTATCATCTTGTTTGATGAGAGAGCAGCCAGTCACTGCATCAAAAGCAAGACCCGTCCAACCGTCTTCAATTCATACCAAGCTATATATTTTCCTTTCAAATCTGCAAAATGATTTTGCAGAGATTTCTCAGAAAAAATTTGTCCAGTTTGCGCATTCAAATTACGCACAAATTTTTCCCAATCTAACTTTGAGTTTCCATCTAATTTGTGTTGGAGAAGAATCTCCAAAAAAAAATTTAGTAGTGTCATTGGTGAATTTGGTTCTCGAACCCATGAAGATTTGAAAGCTACAAGCTCGACTTGGATGAACTAGAGCTATGAAAAAGAGATTTTTATAGGCACTATAGAGTACTATAGAGATACTTTGACATATAATTTATGATCTTTATTTTTCCAAAAAAAAAATTGTACAATATTGTGAAATCTTACACACAATATGCGTGCTAACCATATATATGTACTCAATTTAGGAATTTACTTTCAAAATAAAATAAATATCTTAAACAATCCTTTTTAAACAAAATTTATATTTTTGTTTAATTATTAATTACATTTTTTTTTTGTTTTTTGCAAATAATTAATTACATTTGTTGAACATAAAATTAAACATTCTACAATTTATTAAATAAAAGTCAAACACACTGACACTATATATATATATATATATATATATATATATATATAGAGAGAGAGAGAGAGAGAGAGACTATTAAAATATATAGTTGATCATTAAAATAGTTTCGAAAGCAGCGAGTTGGAGTTAACGATCTCAAACCCAAAGACTTTAGCACAATTTATGACATGCATGAAAAAAATATTGTTAATAAAATTTTTGGTTTGACAAACTTTTTACAATGTATACGTTGGTTAACTGCATGTAATTTACAAATAATTATAGCAAATATTGGTAGATTGATTGATCATATCAAGGCATGTGATATTTAAGCAAAAAAAAAAATATAACGACATATTGGTAGTATTGTATAGATCATGCATATATAATCATATATAAACATCATATTTCAATATCTTATTGAATTTATTGTAAATGATTAGGTATGCTATTACGATGAATTTTGTTACCCTTTTATAAAATATAGTACTTGTATTTACCAAATATCACCGACTACAATATTATCAATAAGACATAATATTTTATACTTGACAAAAAAAAAGATATTATATTTTATAACTATACAATATGTGATAAAAGTGTAGACAAAAGTGATGCATAAAAAAATATATGTGAAGTATTAAAAAATCTTGTACGACAATATTTTGCAATATATGGAAAAAATAATTTACATAAAAAAGCCTAGTAAAAAAAAGCATCAAAGTACATGAACTTAAATTAATTTTGCTGAAATTATTATTGCTGAATTGAAATTATTTTTGTTGAACTGAAATTATTTTTACTGAATTTATTTTTACTGAACTTAAATTATTTTTATTGATTAAAACTGATTTTTACTGAACTGAAATTATTTTTTTAATATTATTTTTTAAGGTGAAGTAAACAGTGCCTATACACTTATACTTCAATACACATAAAAAAAAAAAATACATCCTCCATATCATAAATTAATAATCACCAAGATCCACCTAAAAAATATTGCAGTGTTGTTACTTGACATTTTGCTAAAGGGGAGTTTCTTAATGATTTAGAAATCATGGAATCAAAATTCATACACTTTAATAAAGATGACCATATGTAAAGTACTTCTCAATACCAATTAATAAAAAGACAAAAATAAACTAATATAGTTGTATGACTAAATCAAAACCTCAATAAGCTAAATGACACTTATTAAAAGAGGGATTAATTATGTAATTCAATCTGCCAAATCTTCTTTTCAATTGGTATGTCCAAACTCCAAAGCAACCAAACAAAGAAAAATCATTCAATTTTCTTCTTTGTTAAGCTATAAGAGAAAAGAGGACAACCAAACTCAAATTCCAGTGTTTCCAATCAAAGGCCTTTCTCTCTCTGCTTTTGCTTCAGGTATGTGCTCAACTTTGTAAATTTTCAGCTGTGAATTCATTGCTTTTTACTCAATTATACCCTCAATTTTCTCTTCAAAATGTCATTATTAGAAACATCATGTTAAAGTTTTTATCTTTTGATCGTTAGTAGAGAAAGTATCATCAAATTAGTATCAAAGACCTGTGATTTTGATTCTTCAGAAGCTTGTAATTTGAATTGGTTTTGATCATTTTGTAGATTTTTTATTTGGGTATTGTGCAAATATTATGATTTGTGTGTTGATCATTAATTGTTAAAAATCTGTTATGTTGTCTGAATGAGATTAACTTGAGATTTGGGGTTTCGATTGGAGGTTTTGGAAATTTGGAGATGATATTTGCACCTGTTTTGAAGTTAACATAATTTAATTGAGAATTAACTTATTCCCAATGAATAATTAAAGTGAGGAAGATATAACTCATTTTACAGAGAATGACTAGAATAATGAACAAGGACGAGTAGGGAAAATGTGAATATTGTGGGACTTTTCTGGGTGCTTTATGTTGTGTATACTCCTTAGGCCCTTGTAGTTTATCATCACAATTACAATGATATCTGGCTTTAATCCCAAAAGGATGGCTTTGGCTACACGAACCAGCCGGATTTCATTCCCATGAGTCGCTCATGGTGATCCTGTCTCTTCATATTTTGTCCAATGCATTATAATCCTGAGATTTTCTGGTTTGATACTTGAATTATATTGGAGTTGCAGCAATGAAAGACAAATTAAAATGATATTTTTCACCTAGAACACAGAATGTGTAACATATGGTACACCGGGCTATGGATACAATCCGATACAGATTTTGGAATTGCTGGCTTCGTATTGCAGCATGAGTTTGTTATAACATTTTAGGAGTTTTTTAGAACCTCATTTTGTGTTGCAGCATTGAAATTGTTACATTTGGCTGATCTGTAGTCTTAACCTTCATATCATGACTAGAACTTGGGACATTATCCACAATGTTATGGAGAAAAGGGTTGTGTCGATTGTGTATTGGCCTAGTGGGTGGGCACTTTGAATCATGTGATTAGTTATTATAATTCAAAGAAGCTTCCCTCTCAAGTCTCAGCCTGCTCGACTTACTGATTTCATAACACCTAAATTGAAGGCTGCTTGAGTTATGGTTAGTTTGTGCTTGAAGTATTAGTTTTACTGTTGTAGTTATGGCAGTGTTAATTGTTTTCATTTTTAAGATAGTTGAGTAATGTTCAAGAGCTTTGAGATATGAAATTTTTCTATCCTAAGTGGATGTGTTTTGGGAGACTTGGTTCCTGGTTTCTTATACCATTCATTTGGTATCCTTTTCTTTTGTCCAATACTTTCTGCTGTTTTTTGAGGAAGTGTGTGCGTGTGTGGGGTGATTTTTTTTTTTTTTTTTTTTTTTGGGGGGGGGGGGGGGGGGGGGGGGGGGCGGGGGGGGGGGGGGGGTGTCGGGGTGCTCAAGTTGAAGCTTTTGCGTTGCTATATTTCTCAAGGAGAGAAAGGCCAACAATAATGTTCCTTTTTCAGAATTTGGACTAATTGGTTTTATTTCTAATTTTCTATCAATTGCTCAAGTTGAACCTCTTGTGTTGCTATATTTCTCAAGGAGAGAAAGGCCAAACAATAATGCTTAATTTTTTTCACAATTTGGACTTGACTGTCATATGATTGGATGCTGATAAATTTGTTTACTCACATACCAGCTGCATTCTTGATCGCTCTGTCTGAACAAAAGCCATGCCAATGGACCTCAGTGATCTTTGCAAGGTCTGGGAAGTTAAGCCTCTGAAGATGACTGGTGAAAATGAGGCTCGAAAAATTCTGGAGAATGTGGTGAAACAGGTGCAGCCAATCCTGCGTAAGCATAAATGGAAAGTTGAGGTCCTTTCTGAATTCAGGTATGAAGGCATAAGTTTCTAGCTAAACTTAGTTAGCTTCTTTTAAATTGCTTTACAACTTTCTGATGAAATTAGTAATGTACCAATCACAGCTCATCTAATCCATCCCACATGGGATTGAACATAGGAGGAGGTGCAGAGATTAAGCTACGGTTGCGGAGGCCAGAAAGAAAGTGGGATTTCTTCTCTGATGAACAGGTGCTTGATACTATGCTGCATGAACTTTGCCACAACGAACATGGTCCCCATAATGCTGACTTCTACAAACTCTTCGATGAACTTAGACAGGTTAGTGACTTCAATAGTTTCATTGGTTTTTTTTTTTTTTTTTTTTTTTTTTTTTTTTTTTTTTTTTTAAAATTCAAGCAAATAAACTGTTGTTGATTTGCTTGTTATTTTAATTGTATGAAGAGCTTTTCTACTTAATTCATACTTGATTCTATGTATCAACTTCTCCTCTTCATTGTTCAGTCTTGGCAAAAGTTGTCCATTATAGCATTTACATTGACTGAACTTATGTGGAATTCCCTTGGATGGGGTAAGAATAAACGTAGAAATCTTGTACACACTCAGATCTGTTTTGGTGTTTTTGAAATCTATTATTGCCAGGATAAGGATATAAAGCTATTTTTTCGTCATTCCATAGTGCATATTCAACAATATTGTAGTTATTAGTTGTTAAGAATAGATTCAGCTACATTTAGCTGGATAAGAATATGCAATGGCTCTCGCCAAACAATTCACAGGTTTTAATTTGTTGAATAATGAGAACTCTTCTTCTCACTATTGATAAAATGATCAATCCACCACGTAAAATGACTGACGCTGAATGTTTCTGTTATATATCTCTAGGAGTGTGAGGAATCAATGGCGAGAGGAACTAAGGGCGCTGGGAGAAGAGTTGATCTGTCTGAAAGACGTATGGGTGGGTCCTCACAACCACCACCTTTGCCATTTTTCCGTCAAAATGCATGGACTGCTGCTGAAAGAAGAGCGCAACATGGAACTTTGCTGCCATCGGGACCTAGGAACATTGGTGGTAATAATAGTATGATGGTTGACCTCACCCCAGTTCAAGCTGCTGCCATGGTTTCAGAAAGAAGACTTCGTGATGATTTATGGTGTGGAACCCAATCCTTGAGGACCAATGGCCAGGAACCAAGTAATAATGCATTCTCCTCAGTGGGATCAAGTAACACTGCATCATCCTCCACGGAATCAGGTTATAATGCATCATCCGCAATGGGATCAAGTTATTATGCATCCTCCTCAATAGAATCAAGTAATAATACATCTTCCTCAATGAAATCTCAAAGACCCATTTCAAGTCTGCAAGCTCAGCCACGTGCGAGTCTGCAATCTCAGCCACCCCATGGGAAGATAGAAAGTCAGGGAAGTTGGCAATGCTCTATGTGTACTTTGATCAATAAGGTAAACTCTAAATTCTAATCTGGATTTGTCATCTACTGTTAGATATGATGTAATAACCTTCGTGAAGTTAGAGTCTTAAAGAGGGGTTTTTCTTAAGTGATCTAGTGAGGCTCTAAACCAAAATCGGAATTTGATTTGTGGGTGTTCTTGTTTCATATGCACTATTTGTATTACTGCACTATATTAGTTTGTAAGATTAGCAATGAAATTGTGCTATAAGCTTATATGATTTTTGTTGATGTTCCGACTACTTATAAGCACTAGCCTTACAAAGCTCATACTTTTATATGGTTGATGACTGATTTGCAGCCACTGGCCCTTGCATGTGAAGCATGCCAAACTCTAAGAACCAAGAAAGATGAACCGAGTATCAGCAACTGGTCGTGTAAATTCTGTACCCTGATGAACAAAAGCAATTTAACAAAATGTTCAGCATGTGGAGAACCAAGGAAGTCATATGGCCCTCCTAGCAGTTACACACCTCCTGAAGCTCCTGCATTTGAAACATCCCAAACGCCAAGAAGCAAGAGAGATGATCCGAGTACTAGTAACTGGTCGTGTAAATTCTGTACGCTGATCAACAACAACAATTTAGAAGAATGTTCAGCATGTGGAGAACCAAGGTATTCATATGTCCGTCCTCCTAGCGTTTACACACCTCCTGAAGCTCCTGTAGTAGAAACATTTCAAACGCCAAGAAGCAAGAAAGATGATCCGAGTATCAGTAACTGGTCATGTAAATTCTGTACCCTGATCAACAACAGCAATCTAGAAAATTGTTCAGCTTGTGGAGAACAGAGGTATTCATATGGCCCTCCTGCTAGCAGCTACACACCTCCTACAGCTCCTGCAATTGAAACATTACAAATGCCAAGAGGCCCGAGAAGGGAAGATGGTCCTAGTGTCAGTAACTGGTCATGTAAACTCTGTACCCTGATCAATGACAGCAATCTAGAGAGATGCTCAGCTTGTGGAGAACAGAGATGATCATAAGCCCCTCCTGCTAGCAGTTGCACACCGCATGTTGTTACTTAATTCTGGCAGGAATGTTTTACATACAGAAAACTAGAAAAGTATTCTTTGTACAAAATCAATTTGTAACACTACAGTTATCTATTTATTATTTGACCACTGGTCTGTAAATTTCATAATCAATAACAGCTAGTTTTGAGTGCTGAAATTATGATGTATACACTGATAAACAAAATCTTGGAAGAGTTATAGCTTATCTAAAATATCTATCTAAATTTGACTTGACCGAACTAATTCAAACTGACTCAAATTCTTATGACTAATACTGATAGCCTCAAATACTATCATATCCAGATAAAACCAAACCGACCCAAATGACAAACTGAATCAATTGAAACCGAACAATCCATGTGCCACCTCTACTTAAAACTAATAATACGAATATCCATAGGTTGAAGTAGAATTGGCTAAACAATTCTTCGCCGATTGAGAGTTTTTTTTAGTAGTGTTTCTCTTCCAGGAAATGGATTGTAAACCCCTGTATTCTGTTCAGAACTCTCATTGCTCTTCCTATACTCACTCCCCTCATCCTCTTCCCCATCTACATTGTTAAATCTACTGTTATTCTTCACATTAGACACCCTTCTCTGCATTCTCAACCTCTCTCTTCTCTCAACTCTCCTCTCCCTTACACCAACCTCTCTAATGCCACCCTCACTTCTTTCTCCTCTCCATCTTTCGCGGTCTTCATCTTCACCTCTCTTCAAGTTCATAACCTCCTCATCTTTCCTCGGCTTTGCCCTTGGTATTCTCCTACCTTTAGAGGTCCCAAGAAGCTGATAATCAACCTTACTCCACCCAACTTTATCATCATTATCCCATCCAAACCTCTGACTTATCTCAAGCAGCTCAGCAACACCCTCAGACTTGGTATTAGTGTGTAACACATCACCATTGAGTAGCCTCTCAGCATACTCCCATTCGATTCGGTCCTTGTACACCGGGTCTTCGAGGACTTGATCAGCTAGCTTAGCCCACTCCTCAAAGTCCCTTGCTCTAAGATTGTTGGACACCCATTTTAGGTAGGTTGATGGCAGGGTTCCTAGCATTCTTCCCTTGTATTTTCCAAAGTCTATGATTCTGTCTCTTGCTGGAAGTGATGCAAAGGTAACTGCGAATTTCGAGGTTTTCGGATTTTGGAAGCATGGGATGTTTGAAGGTCTAAGGAATGTATGCAAAGAGTTATGGCCTAGGAAAGAAGCCATGAGTGGTTTGTGTTGGTGGTGTGGATGATGTTGGATGCCTTATCTTAAGGCAATGTCAAGACAAGGCTAATTTTAAATTCCAACGGTTCCAAATAACTTTAATTATTATTATTATTATTGTTATAAACAAAAAATTGAGCCATTTCAGATGAAAAAGCCTTGTTATGCAAGAAATTTTTGTCACTTATCTACTATAAATAATACATCACTTGTCCACCTCCCAAGTCCCAACTCACAACTCGTGTGTTTTGCTAGTCAATTTAAAGTTATGCTATCTTTCTCTTATTTTATGAATTTTCTACTCTGCACTTATTTTCATTAAAATCAAATTACGAGACTAGACCAAATCTTATTATAATTGCAAAATATATGAATTTTCATAATAAAAAAAATCATCAATAATAGATATTTGGAAAATACAAATAAAGATGAATTAACAAAACTTCGTTTGATAATGGTTTTTCTTATATATTGGGTATTAGAGTATAATGCACTCAAACAGAAAATAAGATCAAATCAGACCATATCAAATATTAAAAAAATTCAGATAATTATCCTAAGTTCAATGCAGGCCATAAATTGTTTGAAGGAAAATAAGTTTCCAATCAAACCATCAATAACTTTCACAAATATAAGTTGTGTGAGGGGAAACATATACTCCGCACTTCATTCGAAGTACTTCGTATACGTTATGCACATAAGCTGTTCGGAAAAATAAATAAATAAATAAATAAAACAAAAAATTTACCATTAAAGAAATGAGGCAAATCCCAAGATAATAATTTGTACCGCATAAAATCTTCGACTGTCATGGTAGCACATCTATTGAAAGCCATCATAAAAAAAATGTTAACTTGAATGAAATTTGTCATTCAGAATTGAGTGATTGCAGGAGTTCTGGTCAGCTGGACAGTAATAATAGTCTGAAGCAAGTAAAATTAAGATAAGATATTGCACAAGGTTACAAGCTCTTATTACAGGAATATTGTAAATACAAATACTTGAAAGAATTTTTTTAAAACGCAATACCTAGCAACCAGAAACCTAGAAACGATTTACTGCCCAATGTACAAAGAGTCTGATAATGAACTGTTTTGAAGCGTGAAATAAACAAGATACTTAGCCAGGTCCAACTTTTGGAATGTCATAATGCTCACTCAAGTTGGCTAGATACTGATTGAAGTCATCTAGACGGTCACGATGGGAATTCTTTGACATTTTTGAATACTTCTGGACATCAAGCTGCTCTCTCTGCTCTATGTATCGTTTTTCAGCTGGCGTCAGATGATCAGCAAAGTTTGGGGCCTTCCCTTTTCCCGTTGACTTGTCTGATTCATTATTGTTGTTCTCCTCTACATTGGTAAGAGCAGATTCTGCATTTGCACCTACACCAGAAGCCAAAATAAGGAGGTGAAGAAATCAATAGATTTTCTAATTCCTATATCAGTAAAGCACTAGCCCATAACTCCATAAGTACTACACAGAAGACTGAATAACTTCATTACTCTGTCAACCTTAAAGGGAAGGAAAGGAGACTGAACATATTATTTGCCAAATGTTGTAACAAAAGAAATAATCTCAGGAAAGTGACTTTGTGATGCAAAAATAATGAAGGCCTAACTTGGTATCTTTAACGACAAGAGGAAGTTTATTTGTCTCGCACTCAATTAGATTTTCCTAGCTAATCAAACAATTATCAAAAAAGAAATAGAGAAATCAAAATAGTCTATAAATCTCAAGGCACGGTACAACAAGCTGTAATACAATGCAAATGGCATCCCAGTGCAAAAGCCACTGCCAAAGAGAGGCCATGAAAACAAGTTAAATGATCCCAATCTTATCATAATTCAGTTGCAATAGCTGTTTACCTGAATTGAAACTAAGTTACTCGACAGTTAGATTTCCTACAGCACCCTATAGGATGTGTTCACAGTAATGATAATGTTCATGCCTTTCAAAGTCCCTTCCACAGACATTGCCAATGGTTTGGGCTGCCACGGCAATATATCACCATCGCGGTAAGCTCAAAGCCTTTACAATAGTTCACGGCACTATGGCCAAGATATAATATTATGCCTCTAGAATTAGGACAATTGTTGGAAAGACAACTCTCACTCACTTCAGGGTATTAGTGCCAATTGTGGTATCACTGATATATGTCAGACTTGGATAAGAATACAGTCAGGCAGCACTTAACAAGCAAAAATTCGAAAAGGATAATAGGATGAATGAAATATTCAGGAAAAAAAACATAAAACGTCTTCTTCTATGTTCAACCAGACAGAGAACCAGCCAAGCAAAAAATGTATGTGGCTGCTGTTATTTCAGCATGATAGAAACTGGAAATTTTGTAAAAACAAAGGCACGTAAATGTTGCAAACCATGAAGACCATGTAGCTGTAAAAATTGATAGACTATATGTAACACAAGAAACCAAGATCAAATCATGGCACAAAAGGATATTATACAGCTCCGGACTGAAGAAACTGTAAAGACCTACGACTTTAACCATACAAGACACGATTTGCATATTTTAAGGTGTCAAACAACTAAGAAAAAAGAGCAATAAGCTCAATAATTACAATGCTAATTAACCATCTATTTTCTCACCTTCTTTTGTTTCTATCTTCTCATCTTCTTTTGTTTCTGAAACTTCATCATAAAGTTTCTTTTGTTTCTTCTTCTTCTTTATGCCGCCAGTCTTCACATCCAAGGCTTTTCCTTTTAGTTTCAGCTTACCAACAATAACATTGTCATATGCTGACATCTTACCTGGAAGCAGGACAGCCAAATATCAAATTCCAACATACACATTACAAAAGTAAATTAAGCTGTGCTTTTTCTTGAAAGCATTCATGTTGATTGTGTCAAGGACAAGATTATGATAAAACATTGCATCACATCAGCAAACTTATGAGATTAACAACGATTTTCCACTCCATTTAGCTTTATAGATGACATAATTTTCATCTTCACCCATGTTCACATACATCACAGTCTAATTCCTGAAGTCATACTGTATACAACAGTAATGACACAAAAGAACGAATTCCTTATTCTTACACTCTTAAGGACATACTAGATGAAAAACAGAAAAAGCACTCTTTCTGACAAACTTGTTAGAGTCAACTATAGCCAAGATTTCCAAGAACCAGCCATACGAGGCAAGATCTTTAAGGACAATGCAGGCAAGATTCATAACAGGAATCAACTTCACCTATCTAGTTATGAAAATGAAGCAATGACCTTTAGCTATTGTAAAAACCACAAGCCAGGAAAAGGAACCAAATGTCCAAAACCCCTTCAAACACCCGTCATCCAATACCTCAATCGTATAGGCACATTCGAACACGATTATTGCACAAAGATTACACAGACTTAATTCCATTATTCCAATAACACCATAGAAGGCATCTCCTAGTTTCATTCTTGAAGAAAAAAAAGAGATTTCCACTATATTTGCACTTCTTATATCTGCATTTTACCTGATTTCAAAATTTTACAAAAACCACCTAAATTTCATAACACATTCAACTTTAGGGCTCAAACACTCAAACCCATTAACAGTGACCTCGAATTTGTGAAAAACAGTAAACATCTATCCTATGATAAGTTTTCTTCAATATTTTGATACCCAACAAAAAAAAAAAAAAAAAAAAATCAAATTAATGGAAAGACCTAAATTTGGGAGTTCCTTAAACTGCAATAACAATGATAAATTGAAAACCCTAATCCGTCTAATCAGTCCAGAATTATCAAATGAAGAAGTTGAAGGATGAAATTAACAGAGCAAATTACAAAAAAAAACTGAAAATTTAATTGAGCTTGCCAACATAAAATTGAAAAATTAAAAAAGTTAATTGAATTAGGAAGTAGTAAGCAATGAAAGAATATAAGCAAACGATTAATTACCTAGCGAAGGGGTGGGTTCAATTTATGGAAAAATATGAATATACCCCAAGTCTTTCTTTCTCCGATATTCTTATTTGATCCTCAATTCCTCTCAATTTGGGGGAAACAAGAAGGGAGGGCGCGGTTTTTAGGCTAAGTTTATATTAGAAACCTTTGTTGCACTAATGCACCTAGCTCGAAGTACTCTCGATCTGTATTAATCCGTACTTGGTAATAATCTCATAGGCCGATAAGGTAATTCAAGTACAAAGTAATCAACAATATGTGAACTTATTACTTGTATTTTTGAGGATTGACCTATCTCAATATATTATGGGATTGTGGTGAATTATTATAGGGGTTTAACGGTTTGTTGATAACATCTTTATATTCGTTAATGGTATGTTGATGACGCAAATACAATCATCTTTTAGAAGAGTTGATGGCCAAATAATGTTATATATCTTTCACCTTCATGTTTCATATTAAGAGGCAAGGTCACCATATGATATGGAGTACTTGATGATTATATTTTGTGGTTGCATGATATCTGTTTTGGTTTGGGTGTACTGTATAGAGGGTTATGTCAATGTTTTATTAGATGTTGTGGTTTTGATTTTGTTTGAAAATAATGCAGTGGTATACAATGTTGCATGCTGATGGCTTTATATCTCAAACTTAGCTATACAAGAAAAGACATGGTTTACAAGGTTTCACTTAAAAAAAATGGCCTCAACTCACTTTTCATGCTTTCAAAAACCAAAATTATATTTTCCAATATGCCTTTAATTAAATAAGAGATAAGAGAGTGTTGTGAATAGAATATAATAAAGCTATATCTGAAGCATATTGTTGTAAATCGTGTCATAAATTTAATTATGAGAGGTTGAGACAATGTGACAACTAATTCTGAACCGAAAAAGATCCTAATATTTGTTGATCTTCTTTAGTTTGTAATCCATAATTTGTACATTTGATTCATATGAAATATGCCTAGTAATTTTATTAGTTCTAAACTATACGTAGCTTCATGTTTAAGACACTAAATTGATGCCTTTTTTTCATGAGTCTATGGTAGGCAAATGGTCTACAACCATATTTTATCACTTTGATCTCTTACCATGCATGGACTTTGGTGGTTGGTAAATTGACTGATTTTACTTGTTTTTCAGCCATTTCAAGATTGTTTGCAGTTTTATTGTTATAAGTTAAGCTTAAATAAGTTTGGTTCATGAAAAAAAAAGCATATATAAGGTAAGCTCGTGCAAGTGAAAATCGGGTGTATTGAACTCACCCTAATGGGCTTGACTTGGTTTCAGCCCTTTCAGTTTGGAATTTTCAATCCAGCAATTGTATAACTATTTGGGGAAGATAATTTCAACAGCAAAATACCTTTACTGTCATCTATGAAACTATAAATTGGCAGTTTTCTTGGCACTGAAAATTTCTTCTGAATTTTTGTTTAACAGCATTCGGTGTATTGGCAAGGTTGCTGTAATTCCATGCTGGTGTTTACCATTTTGATGCTTGTGTATGTCATGAAGTTCTTCTAGCGGGAAGCTGGGTATCGTAACACCACCGAAATTACCCATGATCAAGATTTGTAGTTTCAGCATCTCTTATGTTTTCCACTTGTAAGTTACCCTTTCAAGTTGAGATCAGAGTTAGTCTTCAGTTTTTTAAAAACTTAAAACAAGCTTATGTGATGCTGAACATTGCTTATATCACTACAAATTTGACTCGGGCAGCCGGATTCTACCTTTGTTGGGGATGCTTGGTGTAGGTTCCTTCAATGTATACTTCCGCGACAAAAGCAGGATTCACAGAACAAATGGTAAATTCTTGGATTGGGGAATTGAGGGAAAGCTCAACAAAGGTACACCTTCACTTGCCACGTCTTTTTCTCGTTTCCTTTCCCTTCTGATCTATATATCTGAGACTAATATATTCTTTCTTTTCGAGTGCTGTTCAAATACTATCATGCTAGTTGCTGAAGTAGTCAGATACTCTTGCATATTGTAATACAGTCACACTACAGCATCAGGAGAAATCAACACTAGTTTTCTCTTGACCTCAGGATGGTGAATATTCTCATCATTTTGTTACATTGTGTATTTTTCATTTTCCTCAGCATACAATAATGGTCCCGTGGTCCTCACCCTCAAACACCCCTCCCCTTCGATATTAATTTTTACTACTAATAAATAACTTTTAATTTTAGGATGTCTAGAAAAGGTTGTCACATTTTCTACAATAGTAATGGTTTATGATTGAAATTTCTAACATGTCACTACTTAAATTAAGTGATAAATAACAAGACTTTTGTAAAAGAATTCTAATTTGACTCATCAAATGGGTTACGAGTGTTTATAAGATGTTATGTACATTTGGCTTTGTATTGGCTATATAAGTATACAACTTGTTTATCACATTGTTTAGAGGATTAGCTCATTTTTCACCAAAAATGAATACATCGTGTTCTTATTTCTCCCTTATCCCTCTCTTGTATTGTGCATTTCCTCAATAGTTTCTTACTTCTAGTCATATTATTCACCATCCTTCTGAGTTCTGGCGAACCGAGCTAAAAGGAATGATGACCGATGCTGATCCAAGTAAGACACTGCAATACTGCATTCATATATTCATAATGTGCCTGTTACTCTACATAATTCGCTTTGTTTTGTTCTATAGTATGAGATTTTCCTGTTGCTACAATAATACTCCCTCCGCCTAGATTTGATATGTCATGTACCCTATTTTATTATGTCCAGAAAAAGATTTCGTGCTTGCTCACTACGTGATTTAAGTGATGAAATACTGGATGCTTTATCGTGACAAGGTTTCTGCTGGTATTATAGCAGGAATTATTAAAATTTGAGAGCTGTTAACATAGGCTGGGTAAACTTGAGGACTGCACACTATTCTTCACTCCCAGAGTCCCAGGAGGATTAGGAGTCCTTCAAATCGACAGATTCGAGTCATTCAATACCCATCCAATATTCCCACCTCAGGTTATAAATGAAAAGGTTGAATTGATAGAATGTTCTCCATCTATCTAAAAGTGACCATAGTAGTTCAGTGCCTGCTGCATTTGTCTGACATCAGATATTAATACAGAAGAAAACCACTCCCCTGAAGTGTGAAAAACTGATAGAAGTTTCGAAGGGAAAACTCATACACTCTTAAGGTGCAAAGGTAAGATTCGGTAATGTTTAGTACTAGAGTATATAAACATCAAACCTCGTATATTCCCCAAAGAAACAAGGAAGATGCCCAATATACTACAGACATTGAATATTTACACATGATTAACATAATTCGTGACTTAAATTAGAAAGTAAAAACATTGAGCAATTATATTTATATAGCAAAGCTACATAGCTATGACTTAAATTACATAGCTCATACAAAGGATTCAATAAATTCCCGGTATAATCCTGTAGGGAACCTTGTCACAGTAGGTTTTCCAGTACTTGCCATACCTGCAAAGTTTTACAAACAACATATTAATTTCAGAGCTTAAAAGCAAAGGAAAAAACTTAAATAGAGAAATAGGATGGTAATTTAACAAGCATGCAATGATTCTTTGACAAATACGGGTCCAGCCCCTTTATTTATCAAGAGAAACAAGAATGCAGTGATTCTTTGCTATGGTGAAATTTTTTATTTATATAGTAACTGTACGAATTGCCTTACTTGGATCGACATCGATCGTCATCCCTTTTAGCTCGGTCCACAAGGAGGATCGTGAGGAATATCACGTAGAAATAGGGAAGAAACTGCGGAAAAGAAGCACAATACAACAGTTCAGTCAACAGAATTTTGACAAACACGGGTCAGTAAAAAGAAAAAAGGTTTACCAGAACATTTACTTACATGATTGAAAAGAGCTGGAACTGTCCAGAAAAAAGCAGCTAATATTTCTGGGACATAATGAAAATGTCGAGATAAACCCCACCTGTAAATCGAAGATGTAAAAATCACCGAGTTATATAAAACTGCCCATGAATACACAGTCAAAGTCAGCCATGGTCCTATCCCAGGAAATACAGAACAACTCAATACTATGCACTGCAGGACATAATGATGTACAAGACTAATCAAAATGACCAAGAAACATACCATCCTGAAGTCAAGAGAAGGCTAGTCTTGGATTCTCCTGATGTTGTAGTGTATGAGGCTTGAATCTGCAAAAGATTCATCTACTTTAGCATGATAGTCTTTAAGAAAATATGAAAAAGACAATATCAGATATACAGGATTGCGTACAAAGGGGAAAAAGAAAAGAAAAGAAAAATGCAAAAGTAAAGGTGAAAAGGGGAAATTTTATGGCAATTCAAGATGAACCTTTGATGGAGGCTTCCCCCAAACCAAGCCTTTTCCATTAGTACGACGAAATTCCTGTCTCTGTCTGTCACAGTCGTAATTGATATATATGCACAAAATACCGGCCACAAGAATGTAAAGTGAAAGCTGCAACAGAAGTAAAAAGGACTTTCAGAAAAAGATATGTGATCCGGTTTTCTACAATGATGAACAAACTATACACTGACTCTACTCAATCCAGAATACTTCTCATAGATGCAGTTACCTGAATTCCAAGATGAACAGGGTGGTTAACCAAATACATGCCAGGAGAAGTATACACTGATGGGACCCACACCAAACATCCCCAGCAAATATAGAAACCAGCTGCCAGAATCAAATTTGCAGAATATAAGACACTTTAAAAAAAAAAAAAAAAAAAAAAAAAAAACAGAGGCAGAACTCCAACTTCAAAGTACAATTGATATCATTTCATTTTTGATAATACATCACTACATCACTTTGGCACTCCATGCTCGATAAGAGTGTCTTCCTAATATTGTGTTTCTTCTTACCGTTTTAAAAAATCAAATAAAAAAAGAACACATAGTAAAGAAAATCGCCTAGAAAATCTCCACATTTTTTATATGTTGTGGAAACTACTAAAACTAGAAAGGATCATTTTGCTCTGAGAATTCAACCAACAAAATAGCTTCGAGGTTTTGAGCAAAAACAATGACTATTTATGACCATTTAGGAATTTCAATCATAGGATAATAAATATAGATATACAATGTCTATAAATGTAAAATAAACAAGTTAGATATGTACAAGCTAGATTGCTTGGCTTTTCTTGTTGCTGGAAAGACATGTAATCAGGTTAACTTTCATCCAGGCT